ATTATTGGATGGCGGTTTCGTCCAATTTTGAGACTCTTCGGCAGTGAGCATCCAAAATTCTGCCCACTGGATTCGAACCTAGGGCCTTGAGTCTCACATGTGAACGCTTAACCTCTAAACCATTGAGCTAACCGTCATTCAACGATGTTAATGTCTAACCTCAACCAATCTACAATAAATATTAAAATATTAAAAACAGTGTTTATTAAATCAAAATAATTTGGGGTATTTTTGGGTGTCCTATTAGCTAAATTGCGAAGATTTCGTTGTTCATCTAAACAATATTAACTATATCTATTATATGCAGAAGTAGGGTTTATTCCAAATATGGTAATATGTACATATTTCACAGTAGAGCTAATCCTATAAAACAAAGTTCTTAATTATAATCGATTCGAAAATATACTCAAGCAGAAAATCATGCTTTCACTTTAGGGAATCAATTTTATGACGTTCTATTGTGGATAGTTGCTTAATTCAATATAAAATCTCATTGTTACATATTACCATTAACTAAAATTGTAGGTCTATTAATAGTTATCAGGTGATAATTTTACAAATGGTACAGAAGAATTTTTTAATATTAATATCATGTTTCGGATAACTTGAGCAACAATCTACTTAGGAACGAACAAACCAGAGGAGATTAAGCAAAAACGTTGGAAATGGATAGGATATATGCATTACGGAAATCACCAAACTGTATCACAAGGCAAACGCTAAATTGGAATCCTGAACGGAAATGTAGAGAAGAGGACCGAAGAACACACTATGTCGGGAATTGGAAGCAGACATAAAAAGGATGAATGACAACTGGAAAGGATTATCCAGGACAGAGTTGGCTGGGGAATGCTAGTGGGATTGGCAGTAGCCCAATAGGGGTTTCAGGCGGAATTATATCTTAAGAAGAAGCTAATTGAAAAGACATTATTGCTGTTAGATGCTGAATTAGTGTTCTAATGGTTAAGTGTTTGAGTACAAGATAGATGATCCTGAGTTCGGGTCGTGGCTGTTTTCAGATACAACAATCACTATTGTAACTACAATCTGTGTCATTCTTAATTCCCAACAGTTCACTTTTAATGAAATACATTGTCTTATTACAATCATTGATAACATCAACCTACATAACTGAACAAACACATTCAGTTCCATTTCTACATGATCAATAAGAAAAATTATTATCCCTTTTGATTTGAACATCTATTAACAGTCAGTAGTATAATATGGTGGACAAATAGAATGGATATAACTTTGTTCATAAGTTACAATTTCATACTAGACGATGGTGAAATCAGCTGACAGAATAATTTTTAGTAAAATAAAATTCAAATATAAAAGTGTACATTTTGACAGCCAATCAAAACAGTTTGTGCTACTATGATTTTAACCAATCAAATCATAACAATGCACCATTGATAGGCAACAAATTGTTTGAACTACAAGTTAACCAATCACATATTTTAAAGTATTTTTAATCACATTCAAGAGAATGTTTATCAATAGGGGTCAAGAATTTCAACCAACGGTTGACAAACATCAGTTCATGTGCTCAATAGCTAGAAGAATATTGAATAACGATGAATTCATCTGCTACTGTGATTGGTTAGTAATAATAATCGAATTTGATCTTGTTAATAGTCTGTTTGAATCATCAAATAACAAAGAAACAATTAAACATTTACAAAGTCTATATAAACCAGACAATTCCTATGAAAATTTGATTTAATACTTTGAACGAAAACGTGAGATGAATGTTGACTGAACACACGAAGTCAATGAGTGTGTCATAGGAATTTCAATTTGATTCAATGTGATACTGTTCTTTTGCTCATCTGGACCATGTTAGGTAAAAATTTTAATTTGTTCTATCAATATCATTTCATTTGATCACTGTCTGGCTTTTCGAATTCTTCGACTGCCAAGATATCTGTCTGTCAACAACGTGAACTAAACCGCTATAAAAGAGTAATTTTTGAAAATAATTCATATCGATATGTAAGTAATCAATCAGATTCTAATATACATATTCAGTCTCATTATTATAGTTATTCAAAGAGAATTCGTCTCAACGTTCTCATCCAGTTATGAATGGTAGATTTAAGAAATTTCTTGAACAACATCTGAGTTGATTACATTTTGTAATAGAAGTACTTAGACATTAACACCACTAGATGCCGACTCAGTGGTCCAGTAAGTTAGGCGTTCGCGCGGGAGACTGAAGGCCCTGGGTTCGAATCCCGAGAGCGGGATTGTGGACGCGCACTGCTGAGAGGTCCCACAATAGGACGAAACGGCCATCCAGTGCTTCCAGGTTTCCAAACGTGGTCTAACATCAGTCAGTTCATGATCTCACTCAAAAATTTAATAATCTCCACAACCCCTATACTGATACTTATCTTTATGTTTGTATCTTTTTAGGTAGTTAAACCGAAATTTCCATTTGAATATTATAATAGTCAGGCCAATGAATTTCTTATTCACGATTATTGTAAGTCAATAAATTACTTTGAACTAAAAGTGTTACTGAATTTCCCTGATCACATTTCATTCCATGAATCAAAGTTTCTTCAGTTTCTTCGGTGAATTCTTTTTATACTCATTGTAACATATAAAACATCTTTGGATAACTTTTCTTATTCAAATTGTCAATGATATAAAACCTTAATAATAATTTACGTTTGTTACTCTTAATGGAGCATAAGCCGCCGATCAGCATTCTCCAACCCACTCTGTCCTGGGCCTTCCTTTTCAGTTCTATTCAATTTTTGTTCATTTTTCTCATATCTGTCTCCAGTTCTCGGTGTAATGTGTTTTTTGGTCTTTTTCTTTTCCTTTGTCCCTCAGAATTCCATGTGAGGGCTTGTCTTGTGGTGCAGTTAAGTACTTTTCTCAATGTGTGTCCTATCCACTTCCAGAGCTTCTTCCTGATTTCTTCCTCCGCTGGGATCTGGTTTGTTCTCTCCGACAGTAGGTTGTTGCTGATAGTGTCTGGTCAACGGATGCGAAGTATTTTGCGTAGACAGCTATTAATAAACACGATGGCCTTTGTAGTTCTGCAGGTTTCTGCCTAATACAGTAGAAATATTCTCAGTTTATCGGATTGAAACGCGCATCATATCGTTGACATGACACTATTCCTTGAAACTTCCTCATAAAAGATTGTAAGGACAGGTTACGGATGAACTCGAGGAAACTCTAAAAAGCTCAGAAAGTGCCGAAGATATTCAATCTAATCATATTCTGGAATAATATTCCAGAATCTCTACGTGTAGCTTCCCTATTGGACAAATGCTGAAGATGATAACTTGTATGCAAAGCCACCCTGTGTTTAAACGTATACTTATTAAAAGATATAGATATCCATTATGCAGATATTTTAACATCTATTTTGATTTAGATCATTTCAGATGAATTGGTCGCTGCCAGATGGTACAGAAAAGTAGTACAGGTAAGTCAATACTCAATGACCAATTCATCATATGCGAAACCTAGTAGGTCCTGGGTTCGAATCCCGCGAGGCGGGGTTATGCGTTTTCTGAGGGTCACTCAACCGGGTTTCTCGAGCTAAATAACTAAGATGTATGAATGTCTTTGTCGCAAAAGTGTTGATGGATATTCACAGACGTCTCTCGCTTTTGGTTACCGATTGATCGATCGAGACAAGGATATGTGAATGACAATATTAAGCAGACAATATATTCACTTATGTATTCACTCACACACACAGTTCGACACGTCACACTTGCAGTTCTCAGTCACATCACTACTCAATACAAAGAAAGTGTGTCTTGTACAGAAATAAACGAGTAGAATTTGAAACTGATATTTCCTTTATAAAGTGCTCAATCGTCATTCTTCACTAAAATAATCGTGCGTTGTTGAAAGATGAAGCTGAGTTTCAAGACAAGCATTGACAGTAAGTGATCAGGTGTGATACAGTGTTTTATGATTGAATGTCAGTAAATGCACTAAATGTTTGATAAAGTGGTATTTGTCGATCAGTTGAAATGCATTACTGATTCTCTAAACAGTGAAGATAATTTCCATAATTTCCATTATTTGTTTGAATCCTCTCATTGATGTTTTGGACTGCAATCAATTAGTTTCTTATTGATATATGTGCATTCTTTGTGAATCGTCTCGATGTTGCCATAAGTTACAAGCATTGTAAGCAAAATGAATAGTGACTAGCAATGGAATCAATTGCAGTCCCTAATATCGAAGTGAAGATTCAATAAACAATACGAAAATGAAATAAAATTTCACATCATCGCACAAGCGATTGAGTATCTGGACTACGTATTCAAGTGGATGACGGGATGTTGTTTGAAGCGAATGGTGCTAAGCTCCAGTCCCAGAGTGAATATGAATTTTGTGATACAGATTTATTCTTCTGACAAGTCCTAAATAAGACGAAACGTGTGTCTGGGACTACACTGCTAGTCATTATTCTTCTTTATTTTGTAAATTTCTATGGTGCACAATTGTAATTTGAAATGTGAAATAATATGTAACGGGTCAAACGTATTTTTCCAGACATTGCACTGATTTCTTCGTACATAACATCAGAAATTTACCGACTTTATTTTTTACTTACTGGTTGTTCATTGATCCTTTTCGAAACTCAGACAAATGTAAACCATAATTTTTGGGGATGTTGGATGATCACCACTATATCCAATATGAGACATTTTTTTCTTTTTTCTGGTTAGTGTTTTTTTAGCGAGTTAGTTTTCTACGGGATGGGGTCACTAATCCAATGCCAAACCCTTCTCTTTTATCCGGGCTTGAGACCGGCAGTAGCCGCAGAGAGGCTCCAAGCGGAGTTTATGAGAAATTTTACAGTTTATTATTTATAACGCTTCTTAAATAATGCAAACAACTTGTTATACTTAGAAAAGAAATCAAAATTTCAAGTGTCATTTTCTATTCAATTTATCACACCAGATAATATTAACCATAACATATCTGTTACTGGAAATTGGATCAAAAGTGGCATGTTAGTGGAGTATGAAGTTATTGGGAGTATGTTAAACCTTATTTAACCAGTATTAATTATTTCCATATTTGAATACATCACTTTTGTTTCGTCGAATTGAAAATTCCATGTGTAACTGTAGTCAGCTATTAAATGATATCCAGGAATCTGCTTTAAATGACGTTTCACAGTAGGAACATATGTTCCTTCCCATGAAAATATACATTGAGTAACTACAAACAATTTTCAGTTCACCATATATTAGATCATTGAAATAACAATTCGACTACTGAGAGAATTATTTCATGATCTAATGATCAGATCGGCTTCAATGTTTGTCGAATAAAATACTACTTTTATCATCGCTGAACTTTCACTGATCCAACTCGTCTAATGCATTAACTGACAGCACATAGACCAGAATGCAATCACATACTTTTATATCTTCTAGCATAGTAGGTTGACTGAAATATTTTCAAGAAAAATGTTATTGATGATTGGAAAAACATTGTCACTCTTCCATTGTTGTTCGACTAGAAATGAGAAAACAACTAACTTTCTTGCACTGATTTCAATCACAAAACTGCTATCATGAAAAGAAACTGTACGCTTTGCTGAACTTAGTGACAGTATCGTGTGTACATATCTGAATGTGAACAGTTATTGAAATCCACCTAAGTTGTCTGTTGTAATTCATCGTTCATACATAACATTCAACTTAGTTTCATTCAATCCAAACATGCTGTCGTAAAATATGAGTGTTTATTGCACTGGATATTATATTATGCATCGTGATGATAATTTTCCAGTAAATGAAATAGTCACTAATTACCGAAATCACCATTGAATCGTTGGGTTATTGTTATATGTTTTGTAACTCTCTTTTCTTTTGTTTAATAACTTAAAATCACTTTATTCTTTTCACAGGAATTTGTTTAAAATACAATTCGACTGACGCATGCCGAAATGCAACAACATCGAATATAACATGTATTTGGCATGAAATAGCTAACACATGCATTGATAGTAATAATCAGGATACTCATAACTTGAAAGTAAATTATTGCCGTGTTAAGGTTAGTACTTAATAAACTTCATAGGTCGTTTTCAATATTCCAAAATTCCACATTCCGAGTAAAACCATTTACTGGAAAGAATATGTTATTGCTATGAATAAGAACTAACTTGTATTATTCACTCAGTGACTAAATTAAAACTTTGTATACGTTGACGATGTCTAATCAGATATGTGTACCAAGCTTTCTTTCCATGGAAACAGTAAACAATGGATCAAAGCGTCGCTTAACATCAATGCTCGAAAACATAATAATTTTTCAGGTCATTTAATGTGTGACCATTTCAGAAATCCAAGATGAAACCGAATATATCTATGTGGATTGTTACAAAATACCGATGAAACCAGCTTGAGTAAAGAAGTGTAACATGCTTAAAATTGTACCTCATGTAACGATAATAAGTGAGATTTTGTAGACTCCGATTGCTGAAGTCCAGAACAAGAATTTCTGATTCTCTGTTAAGAAATATATAACCTGAATGGATTGCTTAAATAAAGGCGTCAATTATAAGTTTATTGATTTATATTTGGATTATGACTAGATGTGACATCTAGAACACATATTTCATCACACATTTGAGTCATCAATTAGTTATAGGATAGTGCGTACTTATCATACTGATTATCAAATCAGTAGTAGATATTCTAAGTGATTGTACAAATGCAAGTTGTGTAACTACATGTTGAATTCTCTTCTATCATCATTATTGACAATGGTGTATAATGATTAATTGAATAATATTTAATGTTTAGTAATAAATGCTACTGTTTTGTTTATTCTAAAGAGCTCAAATGTTAACAATTCGAGTACATCAACACCCACTGAACACACTGAAACAACTACAAGGATCATTGAAGAGAGGATACAGAACAAATTATCTCACTACTTATATGTTGTCTGTTATAACTTGTGACCGCCGATTAGAGAGCAATGAATTATCGATCGGAACAATGACGCGTAAACCCGTACGAGCAGCCTAGAGTTCTGATTGTCCCTGCTTTCCGCCTGGCCCAGCCAGTTACGTCCAGAACACTAATCTGAGCCCCTGCGATATGAATCATTATATTTCAAACATACTGAGTTTATATACCAATCAAACAGACCACAACGTACCAACAAAATATGAAATAACATTTGTCTGGATTATTCACTGTTCACTAAACGCTGGGTGATAAATTATTGTTAACTTAGTGTTATCAAAACAGATTACGATTTCTCTAATGATTTTATTATTGTCATATACAGTAAACCGTCAGTTATTTCATTCAAAGCTTAGTCTTTAGAAAAGATTAAACTAAAGTAGTCTTTTTCATCACACAAGACTCCGATACTGTGATTAAATAGTTGATAGCTGCATATATTTAACGCTGTTGAGGGATAGGAATTCATCGATACTCTTTTACAATACATTTTATCAAAAGAGTTCATTAGAAATAAAATAAAACACTTTATGAGTGAAGTGTTCATCATAAAGTAGGTATAGATGTTTGTCAAGTAGAAATTCACAGGCATTATTCATCGAAATTCAACGTAACATAACATGCTTACGTGGGACTAGCATTGTACTGGATTTCTCAAACGTTTAGTCATTCAAATTGCTCTGTAGTGACTGATATATTTTAAATGAGATGCTAAATCACTATACTATATCAAATACGGATTATGCTATATGGCAAGTACACTGAATTTAAAAAAGTATTATCCGAAGACACTTGAATTCATTCCCATATGTGTCAACGATCTTTTCGATGACACAGGGTTACGGTTAGTCTTCAGATAATTTTCTAAAACTATAGAAGATCTCAAATCTGACCTAAGATACACTTATTGTTTCATAGATATGCAACATATATTATTACATAGTGCCTAAAAGAGAATCCAATACAGTCTATCAAATTTGTTATGCTTATTCTGGTTTCGGTGTAGTTATATTTCATTTTTCCGATATTCTTAATAAACGTCGCACTTGTAACAACATCGCTCAGTCAATAAAACTTTATCTATTTTGACAAAAAGTACAACAGACACAATCACACGTTATTTACATCTGTTACTCGTCATGGAGCATGGGGCACTAACTGGAGATTTCCAACTAACTCTGTTCTAGGCTCTTCTTCCCTCTATTCACAATTGTTATTCATTCTATTGATATCTGTTTCCAATTACCGGCGTGCCATACACTTATTGTAGTGAACGAGAACACAAGTGGAGACAATCGAGTGTTTTTAAACACAAAATTACAGAACGACTTAATAGAATCTGAGAACCATACAGTAAATAAATCATTTGCAAAATGTCTCGGATTTTACTCTTCCTGCATTAACATACTGTTCCCATTCTTTCCTTAACGACCTTTTGCTGCTAGACATTCTATTCCTGACTAGCGTTATATACAACTTATGCCGACATAGGTAGCACAAACCACAATATTATATATTTAGGACTGAAATCAAGGACATGTTTCATTTCGAATTCGGATAGTTGCCAGCTAAATGTCTCTGTAGACTGCACACGCTCCCTAAATTGCATTATTGGCCATAAAACAAATATACCAAGAACTTATAACTCGATTCTAGACCATAGAATTACTCCTCATAATTCATAAATAATATCAAAGACTGATCATTTGTACTCCTAAATATTAACAAATCATTCCTACTTTTGAACTCAAAAAGCCGAACCGGTTTTCTTTCAGGAAAAGGTGATACAGTATAATGTTAGACGCATGCTGTTGTCCATGATGTGGTTTTTATTCTAGGGAAAACGAAGCACCTCATCGGTTTTATAATGTAGCCTTGAGAAAATGATATATATATGATGTTCGGCAGCAGCAAGTTTCTCCCACCCATCTTCAATTACGAAAGATTCCCACTGATTCGGGCCACTATTGTTATTTCACTCCACTAATCATAAATATGATTTATTATTTCCAACAAACTAATCTGTTACGTTTACAAAGGATCAATAAACAGGAAAATATACCAGTAAAGCATTCAGTTTCATAACAATCTGTGAGCTTTTCATAATACCGCGTAAAGTGAATGAAGTTAACCTTCATGATAATTTAATTCAAACAAATCTAAAATAGATATTAATTTCATATTTGAATAGTAAGTGGCCTTTGTATTACTGTAAAGCACCATAAACTGTATATTGCCATTGATATATATATCAATATACAGTAATAAATGTTTTAATATATACCTTTATTACCAACAAAATGAATGCTTAGTTAATTGTTTAACAATGTCATTAGTGAAACTTCCGGTAATAAGCAAGTTGGATAATTAGGTTTAATTGGGTAAAGAATGACTGAACAAAGTTGAATGCGGTATAATTATTTCTACTTTAAGCGTATGTTAGTGATGTTTGATTTTATGTTAAAAATACTTTATATATTAAACTATCTGATTTGTTTTAATAAACCATGATGGATAGTGGCTAGTAGTGGAATCCAGGTCGCGCGTTTCAGACTCGTCAGCTGGATGTACCTGCATCCCAGAGTTTATGTTCATTCGGGAACTCGGATTCAGTACCATTCGCTTCAAACAGCATTGCGTTATCCACTTAGCTACTGAATTCTAATAGCCACCTGTTTGTGCAATGGGGTAAAGCAAACAACACTAATTGGAAGTATTTGATTTTTTATGTGCTAAAACGATTTATATTTTGTTGATAAGTGAATCTGTTTTTCATGCATATTGATTTGTTTACGAAGACTGGATCAATAAAATTCGAGTTATGTGATGGGAAAACACATTTAGACTTTCTTTTGTTTTAACATTTTGAAACAAGACGAAGAACTTCGTTATACAATGGTTGGACAAAGAAAAAGAAGATTTTCTAAAAAAAAGATAATTATCATACTAGAATTAGCATTCGAAATGTAATCCATGAACATATTTCAACCTTCTCTATATCCATGCCTTTTCATTCTATTTATTCAATCTATATTCTCGTTCCATTTTCCTTACAATTACAATCCCAACTACAATATTTTGATTTATTTTTTTTGCTTTTCGTTTTGTTAATGTAATGTTGTTGTACTAATGTGATATGCCATCTTGACCCAAATTATATAAACATATAGCAATCTCTTAGTTGATGATCATTGATTGACTAAGGAAATTTAAACAACCGACAGTGTTGCACGAACAATAACCATTCCAATCGATGTGATATGCCCGAATCCATGAATACGAACCCATTTTATAATGAGTAGAACGCACTTCCATTCTGCATAATCGTTATTATTATTATTATTATTATTATTATTATTAGTAGTAGTAGTATTTTTACGCTGTACATATATTGAAATATATGAAAAACGTGATAAGAACTAAACAAATATGTTAATTCTAATTCCAACCCATACACACCAACAAATTCAGGTGAAGATAGACAGTGTAGCAGCAGCCTCTGCTGCATTAGACCTGAACATACACAATGGAAAAAGCGAAATCTTCGAGCACAACATAGACAACACCAACCCAATCACACTTGATGGAGAAGCTCTAGAAAAGGTATAGACCTTTAAGCACCTGGACAGCATCGTCAGTGAACAAGGGGGATCTGATGCAGATATGAAGGCTAGGATTGGCAAAGCAAGGACAGGATTCCTACAGATGAAAAACATATGGAACTCAAAACAACTATCAACCAGTATCAAAGTGAGCATCTTCAATACAAAAGTCGAAACAGTCCTAGTGCACGAAGCTGAAACTTGTAGAACTACTACAATCATCATCGAAATAGTACAACTATTTATAAACAATTTTCTATGTAAGATACTGAATGTCCGTTGTTCTGATACGTTTAGCGACAACCTACTGTGGGAGAGACCAAACCAACTTGAAGCTGAATACGGAACCAGGCAGAGATGCTGGATGTGAGTAGGACGTACATTGTGGATGTCATCCAACTTAACCAAGAGAAAAGTCCTAGCTTGTAATTCCGAAGGAAAAAGAATGAGAGGAATAACAAGGAACATATTGCATCGAGAACTGGAAGCAAACATCAAAAGAATAAATAAGAACTGGAAACAACTAGAAAGGATTACCCATGACAGAGTTGGATGGAAAATGCTGGTAGGCTAACTATGATCTTCCACGAGAGGTAACAGACGTAAGTAAGTATGTAAGTAATTATCAAATCAATTCAATATGATCACAATACTTCATTTTTATTTTATACATTTACAATAATGATGATATTTGGTCAGAATGACTGATTCATTCAAATTCAATTCAGTTTATACATATCAAGATGTTCAGTATATTTTTTATGTAATTCATACATGTATGGAAAATGTTTCAGATAATCGAATCCTCTAATTGGTTCTTCCTAGAAGAAAAAAAAAGATCAAAGAAATTTGAGAGAAAACAGAAGACAAAACAGAAAGAACTTCAGGAATTTCAACTTAGAACTAGTAGGTTATATTTTGACCAGTTTATGCTGATACAATAGATAAGGATAATAAGATGAAATTATTAGAAATAGACCTCTAGGTTGTAATAATATCAATGTGAGTAGAAAACATTTAGGTATAAGCAATATCACTTAAGTATAAAAGATGAATTCATTGATTAAAACGATGATAATAATAATTATAAACCTTCAAATGTAAAGGAAGACAATGAGTGACGGTATCTTAGTCGTTGCATTCAAAGACTGTAACTATTGGTTAGGATAAACGTGTAAACTCAACTCAGTTAGTGTGCACCTACTTACATAATTTTGTTCAACAGTAAATGATTTAATGAACTAAAGTCGAAGCTTGTTTCAGCCTCCTTAGTTTCGTTTTAACTAAATCCTACATTAACCAATATTAAGTACCGTGGTAGGAAGCGGTCAGGCATGTGTAACTTCAAATTCATTTGCTGACATTTTACAAATACATTCTTCCTCTTTAATGTCTTATTATTAAGTTTAGTTCTGACAATATTCTGTACTGTTTTTATTGTCATATAATAGTATTTATAAGTTACTATTGTAATGTTATGACCTTCTGTTAAACAAATATACAAAGAAGTGAAATAATGTGTTGATTACTGTTGATCTGACAAATGTTAATTCCCAGTATAATGTTGTGGACATTGTTACGTTCTGACTGAGATCATGAATCGACTGATGTTAGACCACCATTTAAAACTTGGAAGCACTGGACGGTCATTTCGTTCTAGTATGGTACTCCTCGACAGTTTGCACCCACGATTAGAACCCAAGACCTTTGGTCTCGAGCGCAACGATTTAACCCCCCCCCAGACCACTGAGCTGGTATCCAACGGTGTTAATGTCTAACCTCCATCGATCCATAAATGGCTGCGCAACCATTCATCCATTGTCTGAGGTAGATACCTTTCTCTACCGGACACGGACTGAACTCTGCTGTTCACAGCTTCTCACTAGGACTTCAAGAAATCATCTTAGAGCCAGTTATTAGTGAGCGCATGATGATCTGAATTGATTGATCATTGGGTGGCGATCAATGTCATGCGTGTCTAGTCCTTATTAGTGCAGATCGAATGCTATCGATCATGTTGTAATGTGGCCACCAGTCTAGGTGACTCGACACTGCGGGCACTATGTATTAAGATTTTAGATGGTGGTTGGAGGTAGTCAACAGGAAACCGTGGACTTGGATCTCGTGCTACTTGGCACTCGTCAGCAAGGTGTACCTGTATCTTGAGGGAACTGGTGCTCCCTGGCGGATTCGATCTCATGTCACCCAGATTCACAGTCAGAGACGTTACTACTGAGCTATCTGAGCCGCGACCGACCTCCTGTAGGACTGAGATGTAATCACAATTGATTGATCACTGGGTGGCGATCAATGTCACGCGTGTCTAGTCCTTATTAGTGCAGATCGAATGTTCAACAATCAACATTTAAAGTAAGAGAAATAAAATACAAATAAACCAATAATAATAAGAATTACTTGTAAAAATATAATCAACTGTTCTGGTTGTTGTTTTTGACTTGTTGACTGTTCATTTGTAATATGTAATAGAGCAGGACTAAGATGTTGCATAATACATAGATTCAAATATAATTGAAAGTGTATTGGATGTAATAAACATACTGTTATATAATTTATAATATTTATCCAATCAAAGTAATTCCAATAACATTGATTTGTCCAACGTAAATATATCTAAATAGATATGAAATAAATAAGAAATTAAGAATAAATCATGTTTGTATTGTTTGTTTTTAAATCTTCCGATTGATGTTTAAGATTGCAGTTGATGAGTCTATTATTCGTATATGTGCACATTGTGTGGATTGAATCGATATTGACTCAAATCACAAGTATTGTAAGCAAAGATGGATAGTGGTTAGTAGTGAAATCCAAGACGCGCGTTCCTTCCTATTTCGGACACGTCAGCTGGATGTACCTACATCCCAGAGTTCATATTCACTTAGGGACTCGAACCCAGTACCGTTCGCTTCAGACGTTATCTTGTTATCCATTTAACTACTGAGTCCAGATTCCACTGCTAATCACCATCTGTCTTTGTTCATAATGCAAGGATGAATCAGTTATAAAATAATATTCGATAGTGAAATTATCCACATCGACTGATCATTAAGTAATAATATCATATTTATCTAGCTTATAGTGATGGTTAGATACAATCGATTAAGTTGAAGTGTAGTGTATGCAACTTATGTCGGTAGATACAAGTAGTATGTAGCACCGATCGGAAATGGAAAGCCAGGCAGTAGAAGGCAATGAAGGTTGAGTTGAAGAGAACAGGGATGGAATTAGAGAGAAGGTGTGAATTCGAAGAATCATACAGAACGTGAAAGACAAATGATGAAAATCTACAAATGAAGTATTTAATCTATGGTTCGTATATTTTACCAAAATACTGTGTAATTGTGTACTAAAATACATTTGGTCACCCCCACTTTTGTTTTCGTTCATTATAACAGGAGCTCCGTACAGTCAAACCCCAAAAGGAATAAATGATTAAGGTTAAATCTCAGTGATATCTAGGTCCTTCTTGCTAAAGATAAATACAATGAAAATTAAAGTTAGAAGTATTTTAATGAGTCAGTTAGATAAAGGAAAATACAAATGAGAAAGGAGGAATGACAAACGAGACTGTAAAATTCAAAATGTGTGCACGAAAAAGTAGGCAGAGAGTATTTAACAATGTCGTGTTAGGTGAACCAATATATTACTTCGCTATCAACTGTGACACAATAAGAATCATAATGCTAGTTCAATTGAGCTCTAATTGTATTTAAATACCTTTGAAACATGTGGGATATTCAAAGCTACTATATTTTTGATACTTCAAGATGCATCAATTTGATCCTAATCGAAAACTCCAAATCTGTGCTAATAAATGAAATCATTCAACGTTTCATACTTTATCCCGTCAATATCATTTACTTGCGTTCTTCACATGTTATTTTCTAAGGGGATGAAACTGATTTTACGATTCTAAGTTAATGAAGTATAGAGTGTGATTTACTTATCAAATTATTGAACAGGTTAGAGATTCATAGAGAATCATCACTGAATGTTCAGGTTCACTGAAATGATGCAACAGTCATTTCATTAGTATCATATACATCTAATTCTCTATGATTCAGCTCAAAGATAAACTCAGTGTTGTGAGCCATATATATTAACTACAATCTGATTATAAATCATTTCAATGGTTAAGATCATGAGTCAGTTGAAGCTAGACCACCATGGAAAACCCGGAAGCACTGGATAGCCGTTTTACCCTATTTTGGGACTCCTCAGCAGTGCGTATCCACGACCTCGCTCCCTGCGAGATTCGAACCCAGGACCTACTGGTTTCGCGCGCGAGCACTTAACCACTAGACCACTGAGCTGGCATCCAACGGTGTTAATGTCTAACTTCAACTAATCCACGAAATTGAGCGACACACATTCCATGGTGGTCTAGCTTCAACTGACTCATGATCTTAACCAATGACATTACTATAATATCCACAAAACCCAGCTGATATAAATCATTTTTTTAGTTATATCCTTAACTGTTGATTATTCAAAATATCATGTATGTTATTTTCAACAAAAGAAAAACATGTTTCATTCAACTTGCTTCTATTATTACATTGAATGAAGAGAAGAACAGTAACGTTCGCTCGAATACAGTGAAGTCATGTTTTAATCAGATACAAACAACCTATTTATTCATAATAAACTATGCTGTTAGTAATAGATAACTGACAATAACATCTTTAATAAACATAAGAGAAACACAAGAACCGAAACAAAAGAAAGGATATGACATTGTCTAACTAATTCTGTTATGTGTCCTTAGCTATACATTTATCGCGAAATACAATTGCCAATTTAGATATGCTGACTTATACAGCCAAACTAATAACTCATACACCAGTACGAGTAGCCTAGAATTCTTATTGATCCGTTTTCTACCTAGCCCTGCCTGTTAAGTCTAGAACGTCAATCTCAGCCTCCTCGATACGAATCATTTATTTCAAACATATTTGATTTATATACAAGTAAAATCGGACTACATCACACCATAAAATATAAAGTGACATTTGTACAAGATTAAGACAAAAGTGACTATGATTGGGAAGGTATGTTACTAATAAACTGGGAATATCTCAAAGTTAGTAAATCGCATGATAATAGTCAATAGGTTAAATGGAAGCTTATAATCAAAGGAATATGAATATACATGTGATATAATTACTTAATAGTCATACAATAAGAACATTCGTGTAATATTAGTTCATAAATAATTCCTAACTGTTATCACTTATTTATTCTTGTCTAGATATATCAAATTCCATAAAATGTAGGCATGTAGACGTTCAAGAATCAACCAAGCTTTATCGATTATCACTTCTCTCAAAATATATGTAGCAAGATTTCTGAAATAAAATGCGTAATTATCCCATATAGCATCGTTACACGAAACGAGTAGTATATATCTGAGCTATTTGTTCCTGTCAATTAGATATTCCAACAAGTTATCTATCGTTTTTCGTTTGTTTTAACAAATCATTATGTGAATTAATTGCATCAGTTGCTTAGGTGTATTTATGAAAAGTTTACGATCTTTCTTTATACAAGTTATAAAAGAGCCCAACCAGAGACATCATGGTTGCTGACAATATACATTGAAAATAATGTACATTATTCAGATATCGATTCGTGAAATGTTTACATCTAACTGGTCATCACTCAATATTTTTCTTCAATATCGATCAAGAAATATGAAACGGAAAGTTATTCAAATAAATTCTACTGAGAATTCTATACTGTACCAAGAGTGTAATATTGAATAAATATAATAGTAATAATAATACGATTATCAGCAGTGTTAAAATGGAAGTCCAAATAAGTTATTAAAGAGAACTCCATTTCAAACACAGTACCAGCAAACAAAGTGTATCACTTTTCATAGGCATTGGAAAAATGTATGTTACACTGTGTTTTGTATATAGTGAAAATTTGTTACCATATACACTTAAGCATTAGTACGTGGATTTTTCCAGTATTTATATGTGAATGACACAAGCTTTTTAAGCACAGATGGATCGTGATTAGTAGTGAAATTCAGGATGTGCGTTTCGTTCTATTTGCGACTTGTCAGCTGGATGTACCTGCATCTCATATTCACTCTGAGACTCGAACCTAGTACCATTAACTACAAACGCCATTGTGTTATCCACTAAACTAATGAGTTCTAATAGCCACCTGCTTGTGCAATAATGTGAAGTTTAGATTCACTTGATGTTGTTTTACTTGTATCTTCCCACTGACATGTAGAACTGCAATTGATCAGTCTCATGTTGTCATATGTGCATCCTGTGCGGATTGCCTTGATATAGCCTTAAGTCACAAGCTTTTTAAGCAAAGATGAATAGTGAGAGACCTTATATTAAGCGACGTTGGTCCACACTATTTAATCACTTTTAGTGACTTGTCTGTTCCATGTGACAATTATGTGTTAAATAAAGTCAAATTAATTTTAACTTGGGGATATTAGGACCCAACATTATTTCGTGGGGGAGGACAGACGCAGAAAATTTTAAAATCCGGATATCAACTCCGGATCCTCAAAAAAGAAGGGGTGTTAGGATGTGCAGAAAAATATACCAATAGTTATCATGTTAAGTCTAATGTTGTCCTTGGACGCTAAATGTACATTCCCTATTGGTCGATATTTACTTCACTTGTTTAATATTGTGTAAATGTTGTTTTCTATTTTTATGGTACGATGTGGTATGTTTGGTTAGTATATAAATATAGTATGTCTGAAATACAATGATTCATATCTCAGAGGCTGTGACTTTCGTTTTGGACTCAACTGGCTGGGGTAGACAGGGAAGCAGGGCCAATCAGGACACTAGGTCGTTCGTTATGTGTTTATGTGTCACTGTAACCGATCATTAAAACGCTGCTTATCAAAACCTGCAGTCACACCCGTTACAACAGGAAGATAGAAGAAAAACAACACCAAGTGAATTTGAATGATACCAAGTTTCTATTCATAAAAAAATTATTTGTCTTTCAACTTTCATTTCAGTTTTCTTTTTCTTCTTCTTCAAGATAAATTCCTAATCATTCTTCTCTTTTATTTAAACTTTTTCTATTTTTTTTTCTATTCTATTAATCAATACCATTTTCTTTTCTTTTTGTTTTCTGGTTATCGTCTTTAAATTTTGGCGCCAATTTTCTTTTTGAAAAACGATGTTGTCTACTTCTTTCTTCTAACATAGTGAATATAAGAAACTAATCAACCATAATATTAACTAATTTTCTGTTTGTTTTTTTTATTGCTCTGTTACTAATGTGAATAAAGTATGTACACTTATATCATAGAATGATCATAATTTATCACTAATGCATAATATACTAGGTAACTTATACAGGAACAATACAGTTCTTAGAACATTTTTTTTTCTACAATAAATTGTTATTGGAATTCAAGTATCATTATACATAATGAATAGATATGAAATAGAGTTATAGCAGTTATACTAGACGCTTAAATAGGAATATAAGTTACTGACTGTTAAAAAGCATTTTAAACTATGGTTTGAATGAATATGCATTTAAAGAAATGTTTATAATCAGAGAGGGAATTCTGTGGATATTATAGTAATTTAATAGTTGAATTCATGAGTCAAATAAAGCTAGACTAACATGCAAAACTTGATAGCCCGTGAGCTGGATCATGGGTGCGCACTGCTGAGGAGTTCCATAATAGGACGAAACGTCCGTTCAGTGCTTTCAGGCTTTCCAGGATGGTCTAGATTTAATTGTCTCATGAATTCAACCATTAAATTAAAGAAATATTTGTTTTAAACTGAAACAATTGATACTGAGAATTCTTCCAGAATTTACGGTGATGAATAAAACTATTATTATCATCATTGTTACTTGTATCATAGAGTTGAGGTTGACACTAATACTGAAAATAAGCAACTTTGAATGAAAAATTGTTAGAAAAATGCATATTGGTTAATATAAGAAAAATATGTAGATGAGAGATACTTCACAATTGACTGATTACTGGGTAGTGATCAATGTGATGTGTGTCAGGTCCTTCTTAGTACATATTGAGTTCTATCGATCAAGTTGCAATACGGCCAATATTCTAGGTCATCCAACATTGCGTGCACTATGTTGAGATGGTATGATGGTTGGAGGTAGTCGACATGAAACCCTGGACCTAGGTTTCGTGTTATTTGGCAAAGTGTACCTGTAATCTCGAAGAAACTGATGCTCATTGACGTATTCGATTCCATTTCACCTAGCTTCTCAGTCAGAGACGTACGCAACGAGCTATCCAGGCTGCAACTGTCCTGCTCTACGACTGAGCTGTGTTTACAAATGACTGATACTTCAACATGATTGAAAAGACTAACTACTCTAACTTCAACACTAACCTGTCTCATTAAAGGTAGTGACAATGATGGTATGGATCGATCATTTTCAGTTTATCGTGTATGCCTAACTACTGACTACTTTGATGGGTGATGTTGTTTGTTGTAGGAGTATGTTGGAAGAAAAATGGAGACAGAAAAACTATGACGTGTTGCTAATTAATGGAGTCATTGATAACTTGACTTGGTCATTTTAACTGGTCTACACTGTTTGGTTAAGTTCCGCATACTTATCGTAACTGATGGTTAGTGACGTTGGGTGAGACACGGCTCGGAATCATTAATAATTGTGACGGAACATCAATTACTTGCGTTTTCTGGATCATAAGTTTCGAAATTCTCCACGAATCTTTCAGTATTATTTCATTGGTTTATGTCTTCTTGAATCATATCCTCGATATCTAATCTTTTCTAGCATAACTAATACTGTTTACTGACTACACTACTCAGCGATTCACCCTGATAATTTTATCTTGTGATATTGGGGTGTGAAAAATTGAACAGATGTACACATGTAACAGATTCTATGTTGCGTTTCACTCACTGACTGAGCTTATTGTCTTAGTAATTGTCTGCCAAAATCTATCAGATTCAAAGTCCTTCAGACAACAGAAAAAACTTGGATTTTATGTGAAAAGGAAATATCTCCAGACTCTTGTTCTCAAGCAGACCACCCTCAGGTCCAACACATCGGTAGTGACATTAATTATAAAGTGATTTAATTTGACTAGTGTACAAGTAGCAATACCCTTTGTATTTCCATTCACTATTTATTAAAATCTCTCTATTTTCGGGTGTAAATTTATTCAAGTTACCTAGTAAGGATTTGTGATTGCTCACTGTTCATACCAAGGACTGGAATTCTGTTTGGATTACCTTGATACATATACGAAAACAGAGACCAATCAACTGCAGTCTTGAATATTATTAATAGAAAGTACAATTCATCATGATTAACACTTACAAATTTTAATAGTTGAGATCATGATTTAATTGAAACACTGGACGGCCATTTCGTCCTATTGTGGGACTACTCAGCAATGTGCATCCATGATCTTCACCACGGGATTCAAACTCATAACCTATCAATGTCGCTCGCGTGCGCTTAACCTCTAGACCATTGAGACGGCATCCAATGGTGTTAATGTCCATAATTGTTGAATAAATTATCGGTTATAGGAACTCGATAGCTAAATGGATAATGTTTTTGGGCGTTTGAAGCAAAATATACTGGCTTTAAATTAAACATCACTAACACAATTCAGGTACATTCAACTGTTAAGTACCGAATGGGAGGAAATACGCTTGCTGGATATTACTGCCAGTCACATGCCAAATATTGTTAAGATTTAATCAAGAAAACATTAAGTACTTGCCATTCTAATATCACTTATTTTGTTTTAGTTCAATAACAATCTTGAGATCATGTTATAAGTTTTGAAAGATGTATTTACTATAAGCCTGGATGTTGAACTGTAGAATTCGATAAGAATTTAGTTAAAATAATATTCTTCATTCATATATATGTCTTTAAACATCATATGTAGGTCTATAATCTGTGAATTATTTATAGGTTACACTCCTTACAGATTGGTTTCAGTTGAGATACTACTGAAAACCATGAATTATAGGATTACTGTTTCGTTCTAGGATAGACTGGTGAATGGTTTAATGTGAAACATTTAAACCAGTAGAATTGTCGAGTCTATATCCATTGGTAAACTTTCAACTGCTAACAATTTATCATGTAGTGAGATGATTATTCAATTCCATTAGTGATAGCTGTTTCATTCACAACATATTTGAACTCTACCCAGTGATAACTCCACATTATCTATGACAACTAAAATTAATCAATAAAATTAATCTCTAAATGATTTCTTAAACAAAATTATTAACTATTTAATGAAACTACTTACTTGAGCTGGACTCATTTCAGCCATAACAAATGTGTTGAAAACATTTGGGCATTCAAGTGCTAACAAATGTTCAAAATATTGACATGATTTTATATAAAATAAATTATGATAATTACTCTGGAAGAAAAGAGAAAACAAAAAATAGAAAGAATGCAATCAAACATAAAATAAATCTATTTTTCACAGGTTGAAATCATGAGTCAATTGAAGCTAGGCCATCATGGAAAACCTGTAAGCACTGGACGGCCGTTTCGTCCTAGTATGGAACTCCTCAGCAGCGAGCATCTACGATCCCGGCACCTCGCGAGATTCGGACCCAGGAACTTATCAGTCTCGCGCCAGGCGCATAACCAACTACACAACTGAGCCGGCATCTAATGGTGTTATTGTCTAACTTCAATTGACTAATGATTTCAATCTGTGAAATTTCTAAAATCTCCACAAACCCCTTCCAATAAAATCTATTTTTGTTGTATAACTCCCATGTAAATACTAAAACAAAAACATGAAGTTCAGTGAAGGAATCTCTTTTCAACGAATTTATTATCAAGTTGTACAGTCGTACTTATCTACGTACTCTTTTTACTCCTCATGGAGGAGTATAGACCATCCATTAGAATTCTCCATCTAACTCTATCCTGGAAAATCTTTTCTACTCGTTTCTATTTGCTATCCATTCTTTCCGTGTCTGCTTTCGATTCCCGATACTGTGTTCCTTGGTCTTCTTCATTTTCGATTTCTTTCATAATTCCAAGTTATATATATATAGTAACTCACTGATGAAAATAGTGGACGGTGGAGCGATTTCGTGAATTGGTTGAAGTTAGACAATAACACCGTTAGATGTCGACCATCTCAGTGGTCTAGAGTTTAAGCGCTCGCGCGCGAAACAGGTCCTGGGTTCGGACCCCACGAGCGGGATCGTGGATTCGCACAGTTGAGGAGTTCCATACTAGGACGAAACGACCGTCCAGTTCTTTCAGGTTTTCTGAAGGAGTATAGCTTCAATTGACCCACGAATTCAACTATTAATATATATATGTAAATTTTGTTAATGTATTAGTTCCGTGGGAAATTACTAACAAGTAATAGATGTGATGATGTAATTGAAAGATTATAACACTAGATTGAGTAACATGAATAATGAAGTGTATAGAACGTATCCTAAAACCACCAATAGCTTAATGGTTGCATAAAATTGGTTACATCAACAAATCAAACTAAGGTGTTGTTTAATTCACAGTTATAGACGTTGCACCTGAACTATCTGATCTGCTACTGACCTCGTGAGTGACACGGGATCGAATCCATCAGACAGCATCAGTTCCATCAAAATTACATATATATCTTGTTCACGGGCGTTAAATGACACGAAAACTAAGGCCATGGTTTCCTGTTAACTATATCTAATCACTACTTACATCCCAACATAGTGCATGCTGGTGACTACACTACAAATTGACCATAAGAATTCGATTAACTTTAAAAAGGACTTAACACACATGCCACCGATCATTATGCGATGTTCAATCTAAAGTAAATATATTAAACTACTCTAATTAGCAAATAATAACTAAATCACTGTTATATATTTGCTCCTTCCTAACAGATTTTATGCAATAGATCACTATTATAAATGGTTTTTCTGGTGATATGTGGTGGAAATTTGGTGAAACTCTCAAAATATAAAACTTCTTTAAATCGGTCGAACGATTGTGAAGAGTATAGTAGTTTACATACTTGAAATGTGTTGTTTGACTCCATGAACATGCTCGATGGTGAAAAAATTTCGCGCTTGACAAGTATTATAGCCCCTTAACTTAAATTTCTACTCACTCCTTTTATATAGTACTTCATAATACATAAGGACAAAACAGATTAGATGGTGGTTGTAGGTAGTCGACAGGAAACCCTGAACCCGGGTTTCGTGCTACTTGGCACTCGTCAGCAAGGTGTACCTGTAATCTTGAAGGAACTGGTTCTCCAGGGTTTCCTGTCGACTACTTCCAACCATCATCTAATCTCAGTATATAGTGCCAGCAGTGTCGAGTCACCTAGACTGGTGGCCACATTGCAACATGATCGATAGCATTCGATCTGCACTAATAAGAACTAGACATGCATGACATTGATCACCACCCAGTGATAAATCAATTGTGACAAAATAGATATATGTAGTTTAAAGTGTAAACAGGAAGTCGGCCTAGATGAGTTTGAAAATGATGATTCCAAGTTAATAGTATGAATTCAAACTATTAAAGATATCATATAACTTCTAAATCTGTTTCGTTTACTCGCCCGTTTTTGTTTCGCTATTTTACAGAGTGAATTCATATATACTACTCAGTGTCATGTTTTTTTTGTGTGTAAAAATAGTCTACTTTCTTTAAATAATCAAGCGATATTGTAGCACTCACGTAAACTGTGACAAATATGGTTCATTTATAGAAGCTTTTTGCCGGGTAGTAATAAATTTTATAAACGATGTATCTAGTAAAATCAGTTGTATCATTATCGATTCAATAAGGCTTTATGACTGACAATCATATCTAGGGTACCAAAAATCATAAACATTATGATAGTAGGTTAGTACGTGAGATATAAAAAACCGAATAGACAGTAAATTAATTGAGACAAGTTGAATATAGTATTACGTCTACTTTTTATTCATCAAGTAATTATAATTTATTATAATGGAAACATATGGAGCTCAAAACAACTACCAACCAATATCAAAGTCAGAATCTTCAATACGAACGTCAAGGTAGTTCTACTGTACGGAGGTGAAACTTGGAGAATTACAACAACCATCATCAAGAAGGTACAAGTATTTATAAATGGTTGTCTACGCAAACTACTCAACATTCATTGGCCGGATACCATCAGCAACAACCTTCTCTAGGAGAGAACAAACCAGCTTCCAGCTGAAGAAGAAATTAGGAAAAGACGATGGAGATGGATAGGACATACATTACGCAAATCATCAAACTGCATCATCAGGTAAGCCCTGACTTGGAATCCTGAAGGGAAGCGGAAAAGAGGAAGGCCAAAGAACACATTACGTCTGGAAAGAGAAGCAGATATGAAGAGGATGAACAACAACTGGAAGGAGCTGGAAAGGATTGTCCAGGACAGGGTTGGATGGCGAATGCTGGTGAGCGGCCTATTCTTCTTCACGAAGAGTAACAGGCGTAAGTAGTAAGTAAGTAATAAAGAAAACAATATAGATAAATGTAACTGTAATTGTAACATTCCAAGTTTCGTGTTTAATTATCAATAATTGATTTTAAAAATCCAGTTTCATTGGACAATCATGTTCATTTCATATATTTATTAGTACAGCTGTAGTTTGACATGTGGGGAGAGGTTAGTCACATTTCGCATGTATCAGATGTAATGTTACAGACTTTGAAGGTGGGATTGATACCGATTTAAATTTTATACCTCATCTAAGATTACAGGCACATGTAGCTGACGGGTATCAACTAACAAAAAACTTGAATTTAAGATGTCCTGATAACTGTCTGCAATTAATTTACGTCAAAACACATGAAAGTAATATACGTTTTATGACAGTTTTTTTAATAGACTATGAATGACACAATGGACATGTTTATCATTAAATGAAGGGCTTTCACGGACATTCTTCAATGATGTATGGAATTTAGTCGTTCAGTCATTAAACACGTAAGGTAATCTGAAAAAAAGTTCTATTTTCAGAAAGTAGTTTTGTGCAGATTGTAGTAATTAATTAGTTAATTTCATAGGTCAATTAAAGATAGACCATTATGTATTGGTCAAAGTTAAAAATGGCACTGTTGGATGCCAGCTCAGTGATCCGAAGATTACGCGCTTGCGCGCGAGACCGCAGGTCTAGGGTTCGAATCCCATGAGCGAGACTATGGATGCGCACTCTTGAGGAATCCAATGATAGGACGAAACGGACGTTTAGGGTTTCTATGTTTTTAATAGTATTCTAACATTGATTCATTCATGATACCAATCTAAACATATATTGTATTATAGAATAAAAATGAAGAGAATTCAGCGAAGAAACTCTTCTTTTAGACAAAATCATTTACTTAAGCTGAACACTCATTTTTATAGTTGGATGATAAATATAGGTCTATAAAAGTATTGAAAAAGATTGCATTATAAAGTGATTCGAAATTTCCAATTATCAAATGAGTTTACATTCTAATCAGATAGTTAGATAAGAATATAACGATGAAAATAATTTACGGGTCAAAATTATGAAAAATAACTGTCTGTTTGACAGATATGAAGAGAGAAAATAGAAAATAAAGGGTCATCATAATAAAAATTAAATAATAATAACAATAATAATTGATTATGGTTTAAAAGTACAAAACAATAAACAACAAAAAGCAAGACTACTGAAAGGAATTAAGGCCAAGAAAGGATGAGAGGTTGGACGTATTGAAGAGTTCAGTCTTGAATTGGTGGATTGTTAACGCCTCAACAGTGCATACGTTTGGATTCCGCTTTACTTCAATCCAATTCCTTTGATAGTGTAGATTTATTTGATGGAAAACTTCTTTGGAGCTATGTGTTCAGAGATGATTCAATGCTCCTGTATTAAACTAGTGACTATTTTTTGGCATTTTCCTTTTAAAATTCACGTTGAATAATATTCTCTGATGCACTTGGAAATTGATCGTTTTGTGTGGCTAATGCGACCTGACCCACAGGAGTAAGTATATTTATAAATGCACATCGATCTGACCCAATAAAACTTTATATATTATTTCAATTCATCATATTACTAATTATTCACTCAAAATATAATTGAACTAGTAATTAAGTTAAAAGATTTATAAGATCAAATTAATCAGAAATGAAGAAGTTCGATGTCATCAAGCGTAGTTGATTGATTTTAATGACAAAAAAAAGAAAAAAAAAGACTATCATATACTTATGATTAAGTTTAACATTTAGGTTAGGAGAAGAGTTAAAGACTAAGTTTTTAAGTACAGAGAAATTAAATAGGAAACTTAATTTCAGTTCTCAATCATTATCTATGCCCATAATTCTAATTGTCAGCAATAAATTATACCAGATGTGGTTTTGTGGATATTATGGTCATTTTAATAGTTGGGATCATGAGTCAATTGAAGCTAGACCACCATGAAAAATCTGGAAGCACTGGATAGCTGTTTCGTCTTATAGTGGGACTTCTCAGCGGTACGCATCCACGACCTCGTCACGCAGGATTCGGACCCAGGACCGATCAGTCTCGCGCTTAACTACTAGAGCACTAAGCCGGTACCCACCAGTGTTAATGTCTAACTTCCACGAAATTGAGCGACAAATCTACCACTGTCATCAGTGAGTTACTATCTCACGACAGACTCAATTAAAATCCACTGGTCAATGCTTTTCACTAGTAACTCACTGAAGACAATGATGGATATGTCGCTCAATTTTGTGGATTAGTTGAAGTTAGACACTAACACCGTTGGATGTAGGCTCTGTGGTCTAGTGGTTAAGTAATCTCTTGCAAGACCAGTAGGTCCTGGGTTCAAACCTCGTGATGGGGATCGTGGGTGCACACTGTTGAATAGTCCCACAATAGGACGAGATAGCCGTCCAGTGCTTCCAGGTTTTTCATGATGGTCTAGCTTCAATTGACTCATGATCTCAACGATTGAAATAAATTATAAATTTGAATCATTATTCTATACACTTTGTCTTAATGTTAAACACTAAATTCTAATCTTAAATGTAAAACGTTCTAAACATGACATTTTATACCCTGGATATTCTGAATTGTATAAAGTTAAATTATATTTTCATATTGGCAAAATGGAAGTCTTTCTATCATTGATTAAAATACTGATAAAATCTATTCATAGTTTCAAAAGTTCTTTATTGGTCTTTAATATAAATTGTATCATCTATAAACCAATCAAAGAAAGTGTATATTGTGCATGAATTCACTCTATTTTACTAAATGACATTAAAATAAGATTTACGAAAGTAGATGATCTGCGTTTAATATAGAAAGATCCAAGGCTCGGTGATAAGGTTAGGCATAGAATACTAGACAAAGATAATTAATCAATTGATGTACTAGTGAGTCTTTATCGATTAAGATGATTTAGAAATGTATTAAGTACGCCTAAATAAAATGCTTATTTTGAAAAAGGAATGTTACCTACTGTAGGTGAAGAATGGAAGAAAGTTTGTAATGATCAAAATCAAAATATGATATCAGTTCAGAAAAACACTGATAACTGAACTGGATCAGATAGATAGATTCAGATTGCCTAGTTCAGATTTGAGTGATAAATGTGATACATATTTAGTAAGGTTGTATTACATTATCCAGAGATGGTTACAACGACTCAGTTTTACTCAGTCTTTATTTTCATCTAGATCGAAGGTTCCAGATGTTTCTTTCTGGTATACTTTACATTCCTAACTGAAACAAGTCATAACATTTCGAGACCATTATTTAACTGCAATTGTAGGTGAATGACTGGCAAGACTATCATTTATGGACGAATTAATCAGATATAAGATAACTGGTCTTGGATTTTGGCGCCAAATTCACTTACCCATTTGGCTAAATAGAGTTTTGCCATTATAGCTGATTTCAATTCGTGATGAAAACCGTAAATCTATTTTCTAATCCTAACCATCAACTGTAAATCATAATTATAGTTCTTTACACAGCTTGATAATCCACATTTGGTTCTAGTTATTAAGTGGATACTCTTAAGATCAGTCTAGCGACACTCAAAGGTCATCCATAAATTATAATCTCACCGAATGTCTCACTACTGACATGATTGAACTCAGCTGCCCACAGTTTGTTAATTAAACTTCTAATTTTTAAAAGGTGTCTCTGGCTACGGTCATCTGATAACGTGGAATTAAGAATTAATTATCATTAATCATTACAACTTACCAGATTTCTACATCTATTTGGCCATAAGTATAATGAATGTAAAAATGATGAATATTTGCAAAGAAAATTCCATGCACGGTCATAATTTCCTTGATATATAAGAAATGTTGTAGCTACAAACCAATCAAATGGTTCATCTGAAATAGAAATTAATGAAAAGTAACCAAGAATTAATTGACATAAATAGTTTCATTTCATAGCTAGAAATGAGGCATGTTTCTATTCAGTTACAGAACATTGAATTAACTATGGATTTCACAAAAAAAGACTTCTGAATTCGATTCTGGTAAGCAGTCTCTTATGTACTGTCCGACTACAGGGAACAGAAAGAACAGGTAAGTATAAAAACACTCATGTTGATTTGTCCTTGTCCTTACCCATACGTTTATTTACTTCAGTTCGGATACTTACACTACTACTAATAATAATCATATCCTTACTATCGATTAAACACTGAAGTTCTCCTTCTGATAAGAAGCTAAGATCGGTGGGGTTCGGGTTTAAAACAAATTTTTCGATAGATAATGATTGCGAAATATCATTAATTAACCGAAATTATACAAAAAGCATCTCTTACTAACTCAGTTGCTTAAAAGTGATGGGCTTGTCCTGGGACCTGAAGACCAAGGTTCCAAAATCATGCGAAGTCCTAGATGCTCACTACAGATAAGTTGCTTACTAGAAGGAAACAGTAATCCAGTGTTCTTATGTTTTCTATGTTTGTTTATCTAATGTCAATCAATTATGAAAGCTGCAAACATGTAACAAATTATCTTATCATAAGATTTATTTGGTGATGTAGTCTGAGAAAATATTTTAAATCAAGAAAGTGTGAAGTGTTAATAATTCTTCAACTAGTCAGTATGGGGATTTGTAGAGATTGTATTATTTTCACAGTTGAATTCATGAAGGTCCGTGGCTAAAATGATGTGTGCGGGATCGTGGACAAGCACTGCCAAGGAAACCCATACTACGGCAAAACGGTCGTCCAGCGTTTTAAGGTTTTCAATGGTGATCTAGTTGAGATTGAACCGTTAATTCAACTGTTAAAATCTTAAACTAATATTACATAACTATCCAATGTCTTATGCTTTGAAACCTTTCAGATGTTAGTTTGTGGCGAAAATTATCCTCCAAGTAGGCTAGTTGTGGAATCCAAGATGCAGATCTCATCATATTTAGTACTTATCAACCACATGTACCTACGCCCAGTGTTGTTGATCACTCTGAAACTCAAGTTCAGTAATATTTCGCTCCAAATGTCAACGAGTTATATTCAAAACTTTGTTACTATTATTATTATTTATTTGAACACACAAATATTGGTACAAAAGGCACTAAACACATATGTGCCACACAAGTCACTAGATTTGTATGTGAGCTGTGATACTGACCGGGTGCCTAGACCGAAGCAGGTGGTTTTCGTATGGGGCTACACTCGAAACCTTCGACCTAAAGGTCTGATCCACACGGCAGTGAAGCAACGTCAGGAAATGCCATCCCATGGTGGCCGGTGAACAACAAATTGTTCATACACCATTTGTTCCCTGAGGACCATGGAGTCCATGTGCACCACTGAATTGGAATCAAATTTTTCCAACTCCCCCAGGTGAACTGTCCATGTCCACCAACCCGGTTAAAGTGCCAAACATTGGCTTTTCGTCCTCTCATTTTCGTAAACAACACTTTCGCTGAGAAAAGGAAATGAGAAAGACTTCTCTGGCAGTGGCTGTATATACATAACCGTATGAAAGCATTTCGAGAGAGGGAGCTGACTCTCCCCACCGTCGGCCGTTTCAGGGCATTTGAGGGCATATATGCTGTCTCAAGTTAAACTGGTTCCTACTTTGTTTCGTTCCTATCAATTTGTATTTAAGAAGAAAATTAAATTTGTTAACTGATGAAATAATAATGACAAATCACTAAGTAAACACTACTTGCATTTTAATGCATAAAAGAATGAAAATCAAAGAAATTATACTCAACTGACCTGTTAAGAGTTTTTGATTATTTTTTGTTAATTGTCTCTCCATATCAAATGCTAGTCGAATTGTACACAACAGTTTGCGAAATTGTTCTGAATAAAATTGATATTGTTCTGAATAGGTTACTTCATTGGAACCAAATTTAGGAGGCAACGAACCAATACGTAGACCGTAACTAAGGTTACATATACATATATAAAGCCATAAAGAAGCGTATTTAATCTCATACTTAGTTTATTCTAATCATCATTTGAATGATTAAAATATACGCTTGTTGATAGAATGAAGCGGACATGTGGGTAGATGATGAAAAGTAATGTAATGTCATTTATATGTTATATTTTCAACCATAACTGGCTATTATCTAGGTCTTGTGGTGAGATTTACTGATCGTACTGACCTACTATATCTATACTGTTTGTCACACTCACTCCTCTATAGTCTACTATGCCAAAAAGGTTAGCCAGAGAACTATATAACTGAAAGTAGCAAACTTAATGTCAGAGTGAGAGATTAGAAACGCTTGGTCTTAAAAACAGAACACTTTATGTTCCTTCATGGATTCCATCGTCGGCGGAAAGGCTTATAAAGTAAACAACCAATACACCAAAAAAATTTTCTAGAAACGGTCTAGCATGATTGATCGCATCATTTTGTTCCATGTGTTATGCGGCGATACTACAGGGTCTCCATAACCACCGCTGGTCTAGGATCTTTTTGAGGTACTCCGAAGAAATGTAGGCATGACAGGCTGGATTATTATGTAATGATGTGGTTAGTGATGTTGTATTTGATATTTGTCATTTAATTGGCGGACACATTTCAATGCGTTTTATACTTATCAAACCTTCCATAACAAAGAAATTTACTAATATTTAATTGCAGAGTTTCGAGATAGTTTGGCACTATCTAAACAGGTCTTCACAACTAGAGAATATTAACAGAATGACAAGGAAGAAAAAATGGGATTTATTGTAATTAGCAGAAAGGTGAACATAACTGATACACCTGAAAAAGCACAAACGCTAATCAAAGACTGAAATAATAAGAATGATACTGAACTTAAGCTTGAGAAGAAGACAAAGAATGAATATAACTGCCAAAATGTGATTAATTTATGGTCACATTAGTCAATATCAGCTTCATATAATGAGTATGCAACATTATCAACACTGAAATGGTTGAGACATGTACGTATGTATGTCGAACCCACGTCTACTTTGATATAAAATGTTTGTTTGTATAAAAATGGACTAAAAAACGTTAGGGCCAGTAAAAGCAAATCATAGTATCATTTCATTAAGTCACTGATAATTGAAATAAACCGTTCACATTAGCTGAGACAATCTGGTTTGAATGCGGAATATTATTGCAACTATTGGTCGACATGATGTTGAGTAGTGTTGCTCAAAATCAATAATAATGATGAATATACATTTTCAGAAAGGGGTTTTGTGGATATTATAGTAATTTTAATAGTTAAGATCATGAGTCAATTGAAGCTAGACAACCATAGAAAACCTGAAAGCACTGGACGGCCGTTCCGTCCTAGTATGGAACTCCTCAGGAGTACACACCCGTGGCCCCGCCTCTTGAGACTCGAACCCAGGGCCTATCAGTCTCGCGAGTGAACGCTTAACCACTAGACCGCCAAGCCGGGACCCACCGGTGTTATTGTTCAACCTCAACTAATCCACGAAATTGAGTGACACATCCATCATTGCCTTCAGTCAGTTACTATCTCACAACACACCCGGTTGAACTCCACTGGTCACTGCTTCCCGTAGGGTGGGATCATGGATGTGTACGGCTGAGGAGTACCATAGAAGAACTAAGCAGTCGTCCAGTGCTTCCAAATCAACTAATGAAGGTAGATTTATTTATTTCTTTTCATCAGATCTGGAGCATTAAAAGTATCTGCTAAGTTTTTCATTCTATGAACTCATTTTTTTTTACTTATATTATCTATTTTCAATATTTTTATTGTCATACTTGTATTACTCTAGGATTTGTTTTTATAACGTCATTTCTTTTTTATCAACATGATACGTGACATTTAGAACCAATGCACATATATGCCAGGTTCTATGTTAATTATGAAGCAATGATTGACAAGTATGCCAAAAGAAACACAGCATTTTAAAAGATACCGTCTGATATAATCTTAGTCTATGAATAATCATGCGTTATGGTTAAAGTATGTACGATGTGACAACGTGAATCAATATATATTCAAGCCAGGTCATATTGTTGTCAATGCCTGATTGACTAATTTGTGAAGTATCGATTATTTTTATCATAAAAATTGTGACAGATTACAATCGGTATTTTATACGAATAATCGTCAAGATTTCAACGAATAGTTTGACAGAAATTGGGCGCCGAGTATAGAAAAGTCATTATATGTGAAAGTTATATTTGAAATAATTTCAGTGATTGAAATTTAAATAATTTCAACGTTTCGTCCACCTAACTTATCTGGACTTCTTCAGGGTAATAATCAAAATCAAAATCAAATTGCAATCGATGTTTTAAAAAACAAGTGTCAATACTATGATATCGAAATACTGTTTTTTTCTCTTTAAATTACCGTATTGTCCAATCGACGGCGATCTCATCCATTTTTGAAAGCTTAAAGCCATTTATTTCTTGACTATTAGCTATAAAATGAAAGTTGGATAACAAAAAAAAAGAGAATTAAACTTACACTGTAAGGGAATATTTTCTTAATTTAATCAAGATGTTCCCTCTTACCTTTATATAACAGACAGTTTTTTTGAAAAGATGGTAAAAATTTTGTAATTAAAATGGATGATTTCCATTGCGTTTTGTTTTTTGAGTGATTTAATTGTAAAGGTTTCATTGAATTTTTAGATAACATCACCATGAACGCTTAATTTACGCAAAATTAGGCTGTTTAATTAGTTCATAAGCTTTAATTCCTTGCTGATGAATGGTTGTTTTCGAAAGTTTACTTACTTACGCTTACATTCCTCATGGAGAAACATAGACATCCCATCAGCATTCTTCATCCAACTTTGTTATGGGCGGTCCTTTTTAGTTGCTATTCATCATTTGCATGTCTGATTTCAATTCTTGGCGAAGTGTGTTCTTTGGCCTTCCTCTTTTCTGTTCCCCTTCAGGATTTCATGTTATCGCTTGACTCATAATGCAGTTTGATGATTTCCACAATGTATATCCTTTCCTTTTCTATCGTCTTTTCCTAATTTCCTCTTCAACTAGAATCTGGTTTGTTCTCTCCCACAGTAGGCTGTTGTTTCAAAGGTTTGATTAGATCAAATTTTCTTTGTACTTATAGAACTTTTTTTCTGTCAATCTCTGATCGTGTGATTAGTTAAGAATTTCGTTTAGGTTAGTAAATGAAGTCTACATCAATAAGACTGTTTATTGTAGATTGATCTTAACTATTCATTTCTATGTGAATTAAGACCTAATGGTATTGATGATGATCAAAGTTAAAACTTTGCAATTAAATCTTTCAGTTTAGAGAACCTAGTTTAACCAAAATAGTTCTAATTTTATTAGAGAATGAAAAGTCCCTATGACTTCATTAAATTATTATGAATGTGTATCACTATTTATACCTTTCACAATAATGAAGCCACTAGATCATTAGAAATATGGTAGAATTATGTATACTAAGATCAATGTAGAATAATGAAAGATAATTATAATTTCAAATTATATCTAGAACTTTCAATGGCAAGTGAAATTGTACAAAATTTGTAGTATATAAAAACAATGATACCAGTATACAAATGGCTTTCACATTTTAATGATGGGAAGAAATATTTAATAGCAAGTGATTTATTACAGTAAACGTGATCACGTTTAACATGAGTATAACATAATTATCAATAATGATAATGGTTTCGACTTGCTTCGAGTTGTAAGCACTGACCCTTAGATTTCAGGTTAGTAGTAGTCAAAAGGTTAAGCGCTAACTACGAGGTCTAAAGTTCCTATATTCAATATTTTATGGGATTATAGGTTTACACTGTTCTGAACTATAAAGGAAATTTTGTTCATTATTCATTGTGATTTTCAGTTGATCTTTGTATACAATCAAGTCATAATAAGAACTACCGTCAATATGTGAATATTAATTGATCACTTTAGATGAACCATGATTGTCTATTTTCTTCAATAAACAAATTATATTGTCTAGCTTCAACTGACTCATTATCTCAACTATTAAAATTACAATAGCATATACCTAATCCGATATTGATCAACTTATGCACACTAGTGACTGGCTTCAAGAGGTATTTCCTGGAGTTCCAGTGAGAAGCAGTGACCAGTGGAGTTTAATCGGATCTGTAGTGAGATAGTCACTTATTGATGACAATGATGGATGTGTCGTTCAATTTTGTGAATCATTTGAGGTTTAACATTAACACCGGTGGGTGCCGGCTTAGTGGTCTAGTGTTTAAGTGCTCATTCGCGAGACTGATAGGTCTCGGGTTCGAATCTTGCAGGGTTAGATCGTGGATGAGCAATGTCGAAGAGTCCCACAATAGAACGAGATCACTGTCCAGTGCTTTCAGGTTTTCTATGGTGATCTAGCTTCAAGTGACTCATGATCTCAACCATTGAAATTACCATAATATCCACAAAAACCCCTTCTGATATTAAATTGTATATCATTAGTTAAATACATTAAAATACTTTATAATTAAACTATAACATAATTAAATAAACCATTCACCTTTTATCAATGATTGAAGACATGGGTTCGATTCATTGATATAATTCATTGTTAGTAGACATTGATCGAAAAAATTTCCAATAACTATGTTTATTAAAAAGAAACAGAGTACAGTAATAAACTTTACACTTAACTTTATCATGCCTGGTGATTCTTTTGTTAGTTTGTTGTTGTAATTAAAAGAATGATCATGATTGTTTTGAATATCGTTTTGTCACCTTTGGTTTTACTGGGAAAGTGTGCTCATTTTCAAAATTATTTAGTTTGATTTTACAACTTTTGATTTAGTTCTTTCATCATGTAGGGGGTTGTATTCAATTTAGAATAAAACAGATCTCATTAAAGCATCAAGAAGTTGTCTGTGTTATTATTATTGGCGGTGGTAAACAACTGATCGTTTAGGCGTTACATTACTAGGTTTTCTATGACTGAATCCGAACTCTGCTCCTACTTCTTCAGTTTGGATATCCCCATAATAACATTATTTAGGAGCAGACAAGCCAAGACAAAACATCAGCCTATGAAGTCACTGAATATTGGACTGAGCCGTAAGGGAAGACTACCTGGTCGAAATCCTAGCTGATACAGTAGCCAGTGGTTAGAGATATTAAAAGATATGGCTCATAGTCGGTAGGTAAATTTACTATTTATCTTCCCTGAGATTTTGAGTTTAAAAATTATATTGCACACTTTTTATGCCGCAAATTAACTATTTTTCTTGAATCTCATTGTTCATCTTTTTAGTATAGTTGATAATATTACTGCTTCTACCATTCTGCCATTTATCTTGATAATTTCACCTAGCTCTGATTACTCGGTCAAGCAACTTGAACTAATTCACATTTTTGCTAGATTTTACTATACTTATGACTGACTAAACTTATCATGACAAGTAAAGGCTTATGTACTCTCTTATCAGCACTCTGTATTTTCCGTCTCCAGGCAAGTGCTTTGATCTTGCTTAAACCCCTCTAGGGGTCAGTCTCGTATTGTGATTCCTCAAGGATTGTCCAACAGCCCCCGAATCCAATGTTACGCCTGTGGGTGCGAAGAATCCACCCTCCAACTCGACATACTCTCATATGGCCATGCGTATCCATTGCCAGGGAAGTCCAAATCACTCCTTTTTCGTGGTAGGGGTGTTGCTTACGAAATTAGGAAGACGGAGACCGAATGTTCGGTACTTGAACTGGATCGGTAAGTGCGGAGGACCTATTCAAGGTAACTGGATGGTCTTGATTCGAAACCAGTGGTACATATGGGCTCCAGGATCCTGAGGGAACAAATGGTGTATCAACTTATTGTTGATCACAGGCCATCATGGGACTGCGTCCCCTAACGTTAACCTACTGTTTTGTGGACTAAACCTCATAGTCAAAGACTCGGGGAGAGGCCCCATAAAAAACTACCCGCTTTGGCTTAAGCACGCGGACAGCATCCTAGCCTATAGACAAATCCAATGATTAGTGTGGCACATATATATTTTGTTATCTTTTTGTACCAATGCTTATCTGCTTAAGTGAATAAGTAATAACTCAACTATGGATTGTGTATATTATTGTGGAGGTTTAAACAGACGATCTAACCATCTTATATCATATGTTAACAGTGACTTTTTGTATGAGTGCGAGAGAACATTGATACAAGAGAAATAAATGTGGATGTAAGCAAATTAACCGTAAATTTGGCAATAAGATTGTTTTGAAAGTATAAATTCAATTTAAAGCCGTTTTGATAAAGAAACATTTGAACTTTCTTAATTATTGTTTATTATTAACTATTTTGTTTTTAAATTTCAACATGTTAGTCATTATTCAGCAAGTAATAAATTATTGAATGTATAGAGGATATGGTTTGGAATGTTAATAAAAAACCCCACATTTCCGAACACTGTAGATACATTACTTTTCCAGCCTTTCATTATATTTATGTAATACTGACTAACATTTACTATAAATGGCCTAGTTCCGGAGTCATGGTGATTAAGAGTGCTCTACACCTGACTAGAGTCTTATCATTAGGCTTCGGTTCGTCGGGACTTGCTACGAATTATAATCAGGTGTATTCAGATGTGTACTTTTTGTCAAAAAGGAGTCTTCACAGTCCTCTCCTCGAATATAACACCTACTAGACTCCCTCTTGAATTACAATCGGTCCCAAGCCCGGAGAAGGTTATGGCATGGAGTTAGCAATCCCACTCCGTAAAAGCAACCTCGCTAAAAATGCTAATTGGAAAAAAACCAATACAATTATGAAATAACTAAACTTATGGAAGATTCCTACATACTCTTCAACATCTGCCTTTTGTCTCGTTAATAGTAAGAGTCGGAATTAATCCGTTGTTAATATTCAAAACTGAGATTCGACCAATCTTCGTGGGCAAACATGCATCCTGAGTGTATCCCTTGGATAATTCAGACGTTTTTTGATAATAATGCAAAAACTATGACACACTGCGCAAGTTAATCTTTATCTGAACTCGATAACTAAGTAAAGAGTTGGAGTTGAAAGTGGTAGATGACATGTCCAGGTCTTAGTGGGAACATCAACATTGAGATGTAGTTACGTCCAGAGTTTGAAATAGAACGAGAGCAGTATAATGGAATTGATTGTTAGTCACAATCCACCTATTATATGAAATCTGTTTTTCTGTTTATTTTAATCAGCGTCTTCCGAGCTATCTACTTTTATAAATGCACATATACTGTAATATATGGTTTGTACAATTTAAACTTGTTCAAACGAACAAATTTACTACGCCAACAAAATAATGGAAGAAACAACTGTCCAATCCGAATTTGTTTTTAGTGGTTATCTGATTGAAGTCAGACAATGATGGAAGACCTCAGATTTGTCATTTTCTACGAAACTCAATCATCATCATCCTAAAGTTTTTATTTGTATAAACTATTGAGTGGCAAATTAGTGATCCGTATGTAAAACACTCGTTGCAAGACCTGAAATTTTTAAGTCCGATCAATGATGAGGTCATGTGCACGCATAACTAACCAGTCAAATACACAAGGAAAAATGTTATTCAATACTTCATTGTCCCTGAATAGGATCCGAAATAAACTAATCTCTATCAAAACTCTTAATTTTAAATAATTGAATACTAAGAAATGATCAAAATGAATGTATATGCAAAAACTACTAATAAATCACTACACTAAATTCACTTGTACAAACAAGAGGCTATAAGAACTCAGTAGTTAAGTGGATAACCCGATAGCGTTTGAAGCAAACGGCACTGGGTTCGAGTCCCAAAGTGAACATCAACTCTGAGATACAAGAACATCCAGCTGACGAGTCCGAAATAGGACGAAACACGAGTCCTGGATACCACTGCCAGTCACTATCCATCTATACTTTTAATCATTATAGTGATTTTGTATTTTATTCACACAAAAAAAAACTCATCAAATTAGTTTCTAACACATACGTGTATATTTCATTTCCAAATTGAATTCTTCTCCTTTTATATTTAGATCATAATTCTTAAACAATGTCTGACATTGATTAATCCATTCTATTGCTGTTTTCAACGATGTGATTGGTTGATTGATTAATTCAACTTTTAATAAATCAGTTACGAGTTGAGATTTAATTGATTTTGTAGGAAACATTTCATTGTACCAATTAATACATGGATATTGTTTACATTTATTATCAATTATGGTACTATCTCTTAGTGTAGTAGAATAAGAATAAGAATTATCATAGACAAGTTTACTTTGTATCATTATAGATGGATATATATTATTAGTATGCTGTAGAAAATAAATAAAAGGTTATTATAAAAAAGCTGTTTTAGAAAAGTTGGTACTCATTACGTATTCATCCGTTTAAAACAAAATAACACTGGTATGTAAAAGTAGAGAATAAGTATAAATTTACAGTAGTACTTTGTAGTTTGAGATTTATATAGTTTAAAGATGATCTTCGCTATAAAAAAAATTGAAATCAGTAGGAGAATGATCAGCAGTAGAATGCTGTTTGTTCTTAATTGATATTCGTCAGCTGGATGTACTTGAATTGACATGTTGATATTCATACTAAGACTTGAACTCAGTATCTGTTGCATTAGACTCTCGACACGTTATCCAATTAGTTCACATAGCCATTAAGTTCTTCAGAGACTATGAAAGTATTGTGAATGTTTGCATTTTCTCATGTGAATTTCACGTTCAGTCATTAACCTAAGAAGGGTGGAGTCTAGAACTTTAAGGATTCAAGCCAAATTACAAATAAATTTAATTGCGAGTACGCACTGCCGATCCCAGATGACTATTAAAGCTCCGTTAATTGATGTCGTTTTGGATCAGGGACAAATAATCTTAGGTGGTTGAAAGTGATCAGCAGCACACAATGTCTCACCCAGGTTTGATACTACTTGCACTCGTCGCCAGAGCGTATCTTCAGCTTTGATGAAATTGATGTGTTAAGTATAATTCGAATCCGAATCATCCATATTGAATATCTCAGAAGTCACTGCTGAGCTAATGTGATCACAGTATTGATTACTAATAGATTGACAATAAATGGATTTAAGATATCATTTGATGTATTATTCTTTAAAACAACCATTAGTGAAGTTGAGGTAGATTCACCACTTTAGTGGCCCGTGGATCTGACTCCTATTTAGATCATACGAATGTTTGTTATCGTCTATTCTCGTATATAATCGTCGACTTAAATCACGTTATCCAATAACAAAATTAAATAAGTCAAATAACGAGAATGGGATTTTGAATACATATACCTTGTATACGAGGTGAATGGAATAGAAGGAAAAGGAGCGACGCACATCAGAGATGGCTCGTAAGCCAACTCCATTTCAAGCCAGGCATTACTCAATATTTATAGGCAGACAACATAAACCACAGACATGTGATGAGTCATGGGATATGATGTTTACACACATTATACGCTCATATAAAAACAATCAAGACTGACAAGCGAATAATTGACAAGGTCAACACATATGACTCAAGTAGAATGAATAGAATGGCATGTCCGAAAGCTAGAATAAGGTATATTATGGGCTTAAAACTAATGGCTAACACTACACCATATTCATAAATTAGGTGATTTTGAAAAGTTAGACCAAAGACATTTCAACCGAATAATCTGAATGTATGATGTTTGTCTTGATATAGAAAGATAATATAAAGATACCCGATTGTGTGTGCAATCAATGATGTATACAAACGAAGAGCTTTAAACTATAACAAATCATTGTTTTAATGTTTTCTAGCTTTCAAATGATATCAAGTATTAAAGAAAATCCATTTTAGAAAATAGCTTGTAAGACAAACAGGTATTAAAAGATATTACTAATAAGTGACGTATACGGATTGAAACAAGACATGTTCTCTGCCTACTTTCTTATGTCTAGACTGAATTGGTTGCCTTGATATATACCTAAGTGTTTTAAGTAATATAATTCAGTATTTTGATAATTTATCTTTATACACAGATATTAGTTTCTATCTTTCTCCTTTTAATAATTTGGTTTATCAAGAGTTCGGAGTTATAACTAAATTGTAATTACCTTAAAGGTAACTAATAACTTTCAAATGTTTTTTCATATATCTCTGATTTGTAGACAATAAGTACTCTGATTATTGTTTATTCATATCTATACGATTATGATTTCATTGTTTGTTACAATAAATTCTATAGAATTATATTTAAAAAACTTCAATAGTTTACTACCATAGTTTAACCAATCTAACTATAATCTAATAGTTGAATTCAAGAGTCAGTTAAAGCTACACCGCTATGGAAACCTGGAAGCATTGGACGGTTGTTTCGTCATAGTATGGAACGTCTCAGAAGTGCGCATTCACAACCCTGACGCGGGACTCAAACCCAGGACCTATCGGTTTCGCGCGCGAAAGCTTAACCTTTAGATCATTCGGCTGGTAATCAACAGTATTAATATTTAACTTTAATCAACCCATGATCTTGCGCAACCCTTCATTCACTGTCTGAGATGGACAACTTTCTAACACTCTATACGGACTAAACTCCACTGGTCACGGCTTTACAATAGAATTCCTAGATTATTATCACTTGGGTGGTTTGTAGAGATTGTAGTGCTTTTAACAGCTAGAGTAGAGTAGTAGAGCAACATCAGGAGATGCAATCCCATTGTAGCCAGTGATCAACGATTAGTTCATACGTCATTTGTTCCCTTAGGTTACTGGAGTCCATGTGCACCAATGATTTGGAACCAGATTTCCAACTCCCCTAGGTGGACCTTCCATGTCTACCAACCCGTTAAACCACTGAACATTCGCTTTTCGTCCTCTCAATCTCGTAAACAACACCCGGCCGCGAGGAGACAGTGAGTAAGACTTCCCTGGCAGTGCTTGTATGCAAATAGCCGTGTGAGAGCATTTAAAGGGGAAGAGCTAACTCTTCTCACTCTCGGCCGTACCAGTGCATCAGAATAATCTCCATCATCCATAGGTAGTCAGTTTAGCGTAAATTTAACCGAATCGTTATCAAGATACAACGGAACACCAAATACATAACTGAAATTAATTTTTTTATCAATTACCTGACAAAGTATTCTTGGTGGTAACTCACGTTCAGTTGGTCCACCAATGAAAAATATTTTCGTGAGTAGATAATTACGTTCAATCGTCAATGCATCATACATAACATTTACATTTGTTGGTAGATATTCTTCCATATTTTGACAATTTAACAAATAATCAGACAGATTGAGATATGCTTCAAACCATAAAAGTGAATCCAAACAAGATATTATGCATGATAATAACCTGTAAATGGACATAAAATTATCATGATGTTCAACATTCATTTTTCAATTGTAATAACAATAATAATAATAATAATAATAGTTTGAGGGATTTCTGGAGTTTGTAGCATTTTCACAGTTTACATCACGAGTCGATTCATGCTAGATCACCACTGAAAACCTGAGAGCACTAGGTGGCCGCCGTATGGGGTTCCTCAGTTGTACACGAGTCTGAAGGTTCTCGACTCGAGCTCAGCACACAGGGTTGTGAATGCGCACTGTTCAGAAGTTCCATACTTGGACAAAACGGCCGTCCAATGCTTACAGACTTTCAAAGGTGGTTTAACTTAAACCAACTCATGATTTTAAATGTGAAAATAATGTGTCTGTCATGGACTGATATCAGCTGTAGGGATAATTAAAATCAGGGAGCAATGTTTGTAGCGAAATCTGCCAACCATAAGCAAAGTAGAAGTTGACACTTGTATGCATCCGCTCAAGTTTCCACAACGCATCAGTCAACTGAAATAAATTATCAAAGTAAATCTCAGTAGTAGAAATAGCCACAATATTAGTGGTAGTAAAGCAAAGTGGTTTTGAGTGATACGATTCTGAGCCGTCAATCATCGTCTCCAACTATTGGTTTAAGATAACTGCGTAGACCCCAACTACCAATACAGATTAGTTCAGTAGTTTGTAACTTTATGAACCGATGTCAACCCTCGGTTTGTCCATCCTTAGTTTCTTTTCAACCTAATTCTCAGCCACTTTAGTTGATGAGAATGGCTTACCTTATCAACTGTTTCCAACTATTATCTAGTAAAATACGCCTTACTTCAACATTGCTCACTAATTGGTCTCAATATACGCAAGCAAAGCCTGGAAGGTATCTATGATCGAATGATAGTGATCTATAAATATTTTAAAGGCCAAAGTCAAACCCAATTCAAATTACTTTTGAAAAACCTCTAAAAAAAATTAGTAATCACATATTCAGTGAAGACTGTCTATTCCTAAAAATTCAGACTTGTGACTAGTGGAATTCGACCTTATCAAAAAGGAAAAATTTAAGACCGTTGATACTAGATGATCATCGCACTATGTCACTAACTGATTAAAGCTGAAAATCTAGATCATGTGGTGCGAACTCAGTGGTCTAAACGTGACATGTTTTCCACAAAATCAAAAACCTTGAATTTAATCACTGATGACATAAAGAATGTGGATTGCCTGTAGCGTCCGATTCTAAAATGAAACTAATGTCTAGTGCTTTCCGATTTACAAAGATTACTTGGTTGATATCGATCTTTGACCTCCAAAACATATAATAACAATACCATATACAGAACAGATTTTTTGGAGCTTCAAGTAAAATGTAGTAGGTTTTGGTCCCAATATGAGCGTCAAAATAGGTGTGGTTTCACTCATAAGACTAGCCTAGAACAGAATGGAGTGCGTGTCCTAGATTTGAGATGGTAAGGAAGATTTGTAGCTCAGGTAGATGATTTTGACGGAGTTTCATCCTCTAAACTGAATGGTTTGGTCGTAAGGCTTTCATCGTTCTTCTGAATCAAATCAGCAGCACAAACTTTAGGTAGAAGTGAAGTGTTCGAATTTCTCCACACATGATCTACAGCTTGTCCTGTAGATCTCGATGTTAATTGGTTCTCGGTGACCTCAAAATTATCATTGTTTACTTCTTTGTTTTGGTTATATCTCCCATTGGTAAGGGAAAAAATTCAAACACTTCACTTCTACCCGAAGTTTATGCTGATGATGTCGTTCAGAAGAACGATGAAAGCTCCACGACCAAACCATCTAGCTCAGAGAACAAAACTCCATCAAAAAGTGTCCTCGATTCCACCATTAGCCACAATTTATCTATTCTAAATAACTTATGGAAAAAAAACAATATCGATACAATCCTCACAGTACACATATACCCCAACGTATACCTTCTAAAATTTAGTCCTGAATTAAAAACAAAGCAACAACTCAATGCCTTACTAATAATGATATATTTAAACGAGTTCATCGATAGTGTGATCAGTCTATACATTATGAATAACTTCCATCAAAACTCCAAATAATATAATACATTTTAACATGTAACAATCTCCATAATAAATAAGTAAATGACTGACTTATTACTAACTCATCAAATAAATATATCGAATTAGTTGAAATGATTATATGTAGGTGGATACTAATAATAAACGACCTCACTCCCTCCCTCCCTCACTCACACACATACATGCACAAAACCAGTAGATACACAACAATAGCAACCCTAAAATAATAAACAAAGCCGAATACACTAACCTTAAACCAAATACTTGACATTGATCAGGATTGAACAATGAATGAAGTTTAGCCGTATTATTGTTTACAAATATTACACGATCGAAAAATTCCTAACCGAATCGAAATAAAACAAAATAAGTTAACATTAATAAGAAAACAATAACAATGAATTAGATAAACATGAATTTAAATTAAGATAATTAATATTGTACTAGGCAACTGGTTTATCCTAGTATGACACTCCGCAACAATATACATACATACAACATTTCAAGGGAGGTGAATCCGGAACCTTTAGATTTTGGGACTACAATTTGTGACTATTAAATCACTACGTTTTTAATCGGTAGTTTAAAGTTTTAACTTTAATCTATTTGTAATAGAACATAATGTTTATCTATTATCATTGATAATAGGGATTCCAATCGTAATATTCTGGAAACCCATTGATTTCCAAAATAAGTCACTAGTGATAATACGTTTTGTGTAGATTAGTTTAGTTTATTCATGGTATTCTCCATAGAATGATTTCATTTATAGTATCATTGAGAATTCGAGAGCAATAGACAGAGCTTTCGTACTTATATTTGACTCCTTATCAGCGTCTACGTAAATGAAGAACAAGTGTGACCTATACCATCTATGAAATCGTAATACTAAATTCAGATGATGTAGAAACTGTTTTCTAACTATTTAGATAATCAGTAGATTTCCTAATAAATTTATATAGATGTCTGGTAGATGATAAATAATTCGACAGTTTATATAAACGTACTGTAATCAGGGATAGGGCGAATCAGTTATGTCAGTTAGTAGTAATGTATTAGCTACAGTACAACTTAAGAAGTATAAAACAGTCATCATCAATAACACTAGATGGTCGTTGAAATTTTGAGTCAACCAATTGGTGGTGGAAATCTAGATAAATGGCCTCTAACCTAGCGGTCTAAATATAACACGCTTGTTGTGTAATCCTGAAATATTGAGTTCAGCAGATCTGAAGTTCTATATACTTGATAGGTAAATAATTTTATATGCATTAAATTATAAACCAAATTTCAATTTGTATAGCAATAGACTTGTGTTCTTTTGTTGTGCATTATATAGATAAATCATCCTTCAATATAGAACTGATGAAATAGATATACTGGGCATGTGATTAGTGAAATATACCTAAATAATTTACAGATGCCATGAAGCAATGTAGCAGTGGTTATGAAGCACTGGACTGAGTACCATTTGATATAAAGACTCGCTAGGAGACAGGCATAGTTTCCTTTTAATATTTCATCTATTATTTTACTAAATGGTACGAAAATCACATTAACTACTTTGCTGAAACACATATAAACTTGGTCGCTATCACTAACTATATAAAATGTATATTCTCATATACATTCTTCATTAATGTTGATAAAAAGAAAATAAGAATTATATTAAAGATGGATAACAATAATAAGAGTATGTTCAACACTGAAACAGGCTTTAGAATTGCATCGCTCAGTTCGTCTAGCAATTATACTGAACGGCGATTATTTCTATTTTAGTTTGTTGTTGTGGTACGTGACCTTTTAAAATAAATGATATTCAGTAATTGATCATAATTCCCTCCAAAGCATCGCTCAAATATGCCGGGATCATAAAATGAAGGATTTATGAGATTAGAAACAAAGTATTCAGTATCAATTAAGGTGGTCGAAACCTGGAAAACAACATACACCACCTCAGACCTGCTATTTTTAGGTGTAGGGGTTGGTAGGAAGAAAGATAAGGGCGATCAAATCAGTATATGATTTCATTCGAAGGAGTTATCTACTGTTTCATCAAAATCTATTGATACGTTAAGACAAGAAGGTTGAGGAGACATGGTTCATAATCCCTCGTAATGGTGCAGGTGCATTCACTCTTTGCCTTCTCTTTGATCCTAAATCTCTAGATACCCCGACAAGCTTTTTTTATATCCCAATAATTCATGTTTTCTTCTTGAATATAACCTTTAATCCTCAATCCTCTCTATTGCTCTTACTATCTCTTTTACTCCGAGATCTCCTCTGGCAATTTCATATTTATGTGATAGTTAAGTGTTGCAACTTCAGCCGATCTACAGATGTCCCTGGTTCTACATTGTTCATGACTAAGTGACAGAAGTATTCCCGTAAAAGGATTTCTCTAATAATTACGATGAAAATAGATGAAGTAGTTTTACTAGTCCATTTTAAAACAAACTCAAAGGACACTAACATAATGAATAAAAGAATCAGGAAAGCTGTATAACCAAATATTTACTACTTACAGATAAATTAGTAGGTATATCTTGTCGAAAATCATAATATTCTTTATTTGTTAAGAAATTCATAGGGTTGAGTAAATTTTCTATACATTCATATGAAGTTGTAACTCGGACCAAATTGACAAATGGCTATTTAAACAAAGAATGGAATAGAAATAGGAAATAATAACAATAGCATAATTTATGTATGTGAACACATAAGAGAATATGAATTGTCACTATTGTCCTATTCTGATTATTGAATAGTGTTAGTTGTTTGTTTGTTTTGTTGTTTTTGGATAAAAGTTCAGAACTGGACAATATCTTAGGCAGTTAAAGATAGGTGGCATAGAGACCCGTTTGATTTAATTTTCATGCTAGTTGGAACTTATTAGCAAAGGATACCTAGAGTTTTAAGGGGACATGTACACCCTGGTGGATTCAAACTCAGGTCCTCAATCTTAACAATTTGATGAATTACTAGTGAGTTATTCAAGTTGGCATTGAATGCATTAAGAAGTATCAGTTCTGTTATGATGAAACATGCAGCAAACACAAGAACAGATTAACACGATATTCTCCACAACTCACTAATCAATGAATGTAGATAAAACACTGGCAACAATTAGATTTTAAAAAATTAGTAGATATTAAGTCACTGATAACAATCATCCAAACTATTCATTTATAACTAGCATAGTTGAAATCTGACGACAAACTAATATTCCGTTAAATATTTAAACAATGTGTCACAAGAAGAATCATTTTTCTAAAGCTTATTTACAGACCTTGTTGACGAACTCCTGTTGATTACCTCCAAATATCTAACATTAAAACAGAGTGAACCCAATACCGACTCAGTTAAACTAATAGTTATATTATAGCTTAGTCGATAGAATCGGATTAGCAATAAAGGACTACATAAACATGATATTGATCACTATTCAGTTAGGAATTAATATGTAATTAAATTAAGCAACCAACAATCGTTTCCTCTTTATTTTTCCTTTAGTTAAATTCTTATCCTCCCAAAGTGATTTAAAATGTGACGATTTAAGCTGGTACACAGTTATTTTACTTTGTTAATGACCGACCATGTTTGGTCACATTACCAAACCTTAACAAGAAATTGACGGTTATCTTCAATACTTTCTTGATCAGAGTTTAGCATTTTAAGTTCTTTTCTATGACTATTGTTAATTGATTTAGCTCCAAGCTACTTGTGAGCAGATAAACAAAGGTATAACTTTCAAAATCTCAACTTTGTGTTACCTATTACTACTGACGTTTGTTGCGAATAGGAGAATAGGCGAAAAGATGAAAAACTTTGTGAGCTATTCTCTGGAGACGTCTATATATACAACGTCAACTCACCAAATAATTGGTTTCAGATATTTATATATTACCCTAATTGTATACATTCGTTTACCTCATTGACTACTGGTGTATGTTTTACCATTCACTAATTGCAGTTTAGTGATTATGCTCTTGTTATTCAGTTTTTAAACTGATTATATTTCCTTATGTACTGATCAAGGCATTATGCACAAAATGATCTGAGATAACTAATCACTGTTATCATAGGGGTGTTTCAGGTATTACCATAATTGACTTTTAGAAAAACTCATCAAGAAGGGGAACGATCATCATTACTTAGCATATTAAAAGAAAATCAAATAAAATTCACATATCTTCAAATGAAGTACAGGATACTTTCATAAACAGTGAACTCACTTTATATGCAATTTTATCAATTGGATCAATAGACCACATTGGTGGATTATATGTTTTAACCATAGAATAATTCCCTGTTAAATTAACATGACCTGTACTATCAAAGTATTCAATTGACTGCCAAGCATATTTAACTAATAAATTAATTATACCTGATTGAGATAAAGCCAAGAGGCTGGATTTATTTAATGCTAATTGACTAAATAAAAAACCACATGTATGTGGCCGACGAAAAGATATCTAAGAGAGGGAGAGAGAGACAAAGAGAGGAAAGGCAAAAATGTGGGAAGTTATTATGTGGTAGCTAAGACATGGCTTTGGGATGTTATGTGTAAAACTTTGTAAAATAAACAATGACGCAATTAAAATAGACAAATTTTAACTACCAAAATAGTCTAGTGAATTTATGTTTCAACTTATTTGTGACAAATCAACCCACAAGTGGACTGAGCCATGTTGGTAGGTATAGACTACCTGGTTGGGAACCGCGAGATAATAGCAACCGATGGTTAGAGACCCTGAATAACATAGCTCAAAATCGTTTGCAATGGCGCAGGTGCATTCACTCTTTGTGTTCTCATAAATTCTAATCTTCTGAATTCTTCATGTCCCCTCTTTTGTCTTTCCAAATTTATTTCATTGGATTATACTCCTTGAATAACATCTTCAAAACCTAATCTTTCTGATTACTACTTATACTTTTACTACCTCTACCACTATAGGATTTGAATCGATAATTGTATCACTGTGGTAATATGGTATGGCAAATCGAACAAATGCACGTACGTACGAATTTCTACGTTGTTGCTAATCGATTGACTGATACCTGCATCCCACTGTTCATCTTATTTTCAACGAAATAGATATATCTAATGAATTCACAATGGATATATTTACATTAACATTGACTGATAATAAACCCATTTTTGAATATCAGCAAGGAGATAACTCTAATCCTTACCAATAACAATACAAAGGATGATACAAAATTGTATTGTTGACTTTAAGCCTACTGATTACATGAAAATTGATAAACTGTGCCATTTAGAACAAAAAATGATGAGTTCGAGTCGCATTGTGAATACATCAACATTTGGATATGAATATATAGAGGTGACGAGTCTCAAACAAGAGGAAAAACACATCTTTTGTTCAATTGATGTTTATTATCAAATTTCATAAACATACTTGTGACAAAAAATGAAAATATCGAATAAATTTACTCAAGAAGCATATATTACAAAACAGAATGATCAGAATACAAACTTTAATAACAATTTTAACGATTTGAGATGTATATTTTCTTCAGAAGACTTTTTGTGGATACTACAGTAATTTCAACGGTTAAGATCATGAGTCAGTTGAAGCTAAACCACTATGGAAAACCTAAAAGCACAGGACGACCATTTCGTCCCATTGTGGGACTCCTCATCAGTGTGCATCCACTGACTCATGATCTTAACTACTGAAATTACTATGATATCCACAAAATTCATCTGATATTAATCAAAATATGCTCACTAGTGACTGGCTTCAACAAGTATATCCTGGAGTTTTAGTGAGAAGTAGTGACCAGTGAGATAGTAACTCGCTGAAGACAATGGTGAATGTGTCGCCCAATTTCGTGGATTAGTTGAAGTTAGACATTAACACCGTTGGATGCGGGTTCAGTGGTCTGCTGGTTAAGTGCTCGCGCGCGAAACCGGTAGGTCTTGGGTGGGGGGCGAGGTCGTGGATGCGCACCGCTGAGGAGTCCCACAATAAGACGAAACAGCTGTCCGGTCCTTCCAGGTTTTAAATGGTAGTCTAACACCAATCGATTCATGATCTCAAACAAAAACTTAATAATCACGACAAACCTATACTGATAAATACAATTTAAAACAAACTGATATCATTCATGTTGTATTATTTGTTTGAATCTTCCCATTGATGTTTAAGACTGTAATTGATCTGTTTCTTATTGGCATATGAACATTCTGTATGGATTGCCTCGATACTTCCTTAATTCACAAGCATTATAAGCAAAGATGAAAGGTGGCTAACAGTAGAATCCAGAACACACGTTTCGTCCTATTTGAAATTTGTCACCTAGATTTATCTGCATCCCAGAGTTGATGTCTACTTCAGGACTCGAACTCAGCACCGTTCGCTTCAGACGTCACTGTGTTATCCAATTAGCTACTGAATCCTAATAGCTACTGGCTTGTGCAATATCATTATGATACAAACATATATCCAACCATTATATATTTGTACAATACTGTTTAAAACACATTACGTCAGAAATTGGAAGCAAACATCAAATAGGTGAATAGCAACTGGAAAGTATTTCCCACAATAGAGTTCTATGGTGAAGAAAGCACCCAACTGCATCACAAGGCAAGCTCTCACATTGAATCCTCAAGGCTAAAGGAAAAGAGGAAGACCAAAGAACACATCACGTCGAGAAATGGAGACAGATATAAGAAGAATGAACAAAAATTGGATAAAACTGGGAAGGAAGGTCCAGAACAGAGTGGGTTGGAGAATGCTAGTCAGTAGCAAATCCTACATTGGGAGTAACAGGTGTAAGTAAGTAAGTAAGTAAGTAACTAAGTAAGTAGGTAAGCACTGCTTAAAATATATCAAATTATTTAATGTTTAACTTACATTATATTCATTAACAAGATATTTTTGTAAATGCATTGTACAGTTGTTTAACAAATTAGACTTAGTAAATAATTCAATACCAATTGGGCTTCCAAGTGAATAAATTAAACAATTTCGTAAATCTGTTAATACTTTCTCTTGAATTGGATACGATAAATTAGAGCTATAAATCATTTGAGGTAATATGATTAGAACAATGAAAATGAAATAAGATCTAATTATAGTAAGATGATTGTTGAGTCGGCTTTCCGAGAACTGAAACGGAGCCTTCAGAGGACCTAAAGGAGCCGAAGTGTCCTAGCCAATCAGAGCATGATGGAGCTTACTAGAATATCAACGTGACGTACTACTATTGGTCAGTAGTATGTTATGTCTTTTAGCGGATTGACCAAAATATGATGTTGATTTAACAAATGTTAACATCTATAAATACCTGTGTTGACTAGGACACTTCGGCTCCTTTAGGTCCTCTGGAGGCTTTGTTTCAGTTCTCGGAAAGCCGACTCAACGGTGATGAATAGAAAAATGAAAATGACAATAACATAAATAATAAATCTGTCCTAATTACACAACTATTAAATGATTGATAACTTCAATAAGATTCTAATTAATGAACGACTTTTAAGCAATTCTACATTGACTTTAAGAGTATTACCTTTATACAGGAGCTAAATGAGAACTTTAAATTAGTGGAAGGAATCAGGATCAGGATTTAAAGCTGAACATTAGGGTCAAAAGTTAAATTTAAAATTTTTATCAACTATAATGTTAAAATACTATTTAACCATATGCTTGAATGAATTTCGCTCCAAAATTCAATACATGTCATCCTAAATCTGACTGGTTCGCCCATGAATTATAATCTTGCCATTTTTAGTTTTATTCTTTATCTATTATTGACAGTCTCTCTTATTATCAGAAGGGGTTTGTGGAGATTTTTAGAAATTTCACAGATTGAATTCACGAGTCAATTGAAGTTAGACTACCATGGAAAACTTGGAAGAACTGGACGGCCGTTTCGTCCTAGTATGGGATGCCACAGCAATGCGCATCCACGACCCCGCACCCCACGAGATTCCACCCCAGGACCTATCAGTCTCACGTCAGGCGCTTAACCAACTAGATCACTGAGCCGGCATCCAATGGTGTTAATGTCTAACTTCAACCAATCCACGAAGTTGCGCCACCGTATACCTTTGTCTTCAGTGAGCTGATATCTCACAACAGACCTGGTTGAACTTCACTGGTGCGGGATCGTAGATACGCACTGCTGAGGAGTCCCATACTAGTATGAAACGGCCGTTCAGTTCTTACAGGTTTTCCATGGTGGTCTAGCTTCAATTGACTCATGATTTCAATCTGTGAAGTCTCTTTTATTCTTAGCCGTTTTAATTTAATCCTGTATAATTGTTACTTTTTTATTTTATAATGTGATGCGATCTGATTTGCTTGTACATAAACTACGAATATTTAAAATAAATAATCTTCAACTGGTGATCCTTAATCATGTGTTCTTTCACTTTGTTCAGAGTTAGTTCGTATTGAGACAACTGTCATGTGTTGAATATCAGTCTTTTCATTTTTATTTCGTATTGATTGCTTAAGATCGTCTATTCGTATTGGTCAGTGCTAGGATATAATAAAATTCAACTTGAATTTATTGTTAGCATCAATAATTTAGCTTCATTTTGTAAACATTTTATAGAACGTTTGACAGTAAGTTTAGTCGTAAACTGATAATGTTTGAAATTCCCAAAACATTGAACAACTGTTTGATTCAAGTTTAGAGGAACCTAGTAAAAGGTGCTCATTTCAAGTGTAGACCGAATTAGGAACGAGTTAATAAGTATTCGGTGATATTATATGATGTTTACTTCAAAACCTGCTGTCCTTATATTTGATCTTATATGATGTTATAGGTAAACACTAATAGAAGAATGAACAGCTGTTCACTATTCCCTTTTTTTCAATCATTCTCGAGGCACGATTAATAGTAAACACTTCAGCTGAAAAGTTAGATTCTATCAATTAGTAACCATTGCAAAAGATAAAAATGTGAATTCAAAACATTGACAATACTAATCACAGTTGAAAGTTAACTATTTAGGAATCTGCTCCAAAAGTAATTGGTAATAATGAAAAAATAGAACCTAACCAATGACATTAATTTATAATTTTATGGAAAGCTAAAGAATGGATGAATTTGCATAGATGCGATCAATTTTATGTAATTTCGTTCAATATTTAAGTTTACAGATTACAACTAGTGTCCAATGTCATGCTTATCTAATCTTCTAATGTTGATCGGATTGGATCTCAGTTGCTGTTAGAATAGCTTAGTAATTGAATGACTCACAAGCATCAAATCTTTCTAGATTGCAGGTTAGACTCGTTTGAAACTCCCAACTAGAGCGCATGTTCATGTTCTGAGGTTCATGCTAACAACCATCAAATACATAACAATGTTTTTTTGAAAAGACTTAGAACAACATTTAAAATTGAATGAATTAATGCTAGTCGTTTATTTGACTTCACTTAGCTTTCCTTCAAGTTAACCTCATACTAGCCAACATCGATAGATTATATTTAAATTCCAAGAATCATCGTATAGATACACGTACGAGTTAATGATTTAATTTCTATATGATTTAAATATATAAAAGATATTTATCCATTTAACAAAAACACAAACATACTTTATTTCAGACATCAGTTTGCTTTCCTAAATATCAAGAAAAAAATGAAGATAACAAGAAATAGAGACAAATGAAGTTTACTAAATAATGATGAAGGTGATAATTTACTGCAGATAACCATAAACTCATTGTTTATATTGTATTAAAACGCACCATTCACCACATAACATGTTGATGATTACATTCTGAAAATAATTTCATTAATTTAATTATTATATTCAGTAAAATCTGTATAGTTTGTACACTGTATCCAAGCCGTTAAAATACTAGACGTTACAATGCATTCTTTCTAAATTCATCGATTCAATGTTCATTTTTGTGCTTTTCAAAATTATGCTACTTATTATTTTTTAAGTAGCTTAGTTTGTATGTAACCATTTACACTAAGAAGAACGATGAATGTTGATTAACATCTCATTTTATCAATATATCCAATGATTCGGTTTGTCGATTCTATTCATTTGCCTACAGCTTGTCCATTTTCTCTTCTCACACGCCTTTTCCTGATAAAGAAAATATGTTCTTCTATCAAACCCTGTACTTTAATTCAACAAAGAAAAACACAAGGAGCTGCTCTTGCTTGGGATGAGGACATCTTGCCTGCAGTACAAACAATATAAGTTGTTAAAAGCCAAAAGAGATTTAAAACCTGACGTTTCACCATACATCAACAGGACAATTGTAAAGAAACCATTCTTATTCACCTATTTCAGACGACTTCAACAAAAGATGTTTATATATATATATATATATATATATATATATATATATATATATATATATATATATATATATATATATATATATCCGTGTGGGGCAGAGACAAGTATATACCTCCGTACAATGGAAGATGGTCTCCTAATTTCGTGCATTCGTTGAGGTTAGATATAAACACGATTGGATACCGGCTCAGTGGTATGGAGGTCAAGCGTTTGCGCATAAGAATGAATGTCCTGGATTCGAATCCCGTGAGATGGGATCGTTTATGCGCATTACTGAGGAGTCTCACATTAGGACGAAACGACCTTCCATTGCTTCCAGGTTTTTAATGGTGATCTAACATCAATCGGTTCATGAACACAAATTTAAAAGCTCCTTAAAAACACATGTTTGCTTTATTCGTGCTTTTCGATTGCATCAAATGAGTTATTATCTCATCAGATCATCAATTCAAAATGTAAAGTTGAAACTGGCCGGAAAATATAACTTTAGAAGTGAATGTTAATCAGAAAAATAATATTTTGTCCAAAAAAAGAGATTCCTTTTTGTGTAGTACGCAAACTACTTAATAGTTTGAAAGTAGCTTAAGTATGGTTAATTAAATGGTTGAAGGCAATAAACGTAGAAGACTTTCAATAAACTCACTGTAATCTGATACCATATTTTAATCAGTACAGAATTGAAATCATGTATATCTTCAAAGTGTAAACTTGTTCCACGTCTGGTTACATGCTGACCACAATGAACAACTTTGATTAATATATTCAACAGAAGAACATAATACTTGTCAACTGATGAAGACAAGTTTTTTATTTCTACTGATTGATATAAAAGTTTCATGGTGAAATCTAGCAAATTATTGATCAAAATTAATGTTTTACTAGAAACAGCAATAGAAAAATTAGAAAAAGAGCTAACATTTGATATATAAGTATAGCTTATCAAAAAATGTCGTAATTACTGTTAAGTGATATAACACAAAATCAAACGCAACGCCCCAATTTCATTCAACTCTTTGTATTCCTTCGGATTTTCAGTTTCAAAACTATCTTAAACTCCGTTTTCTGTCAATTCTTTCTGTCGTTTTGAACTATTTTTCTTGTACCTAATCTTTGCTAGCACCATTGTTACTGTTGCTACGTCTATTGTTGTGAGCGAGAACACAGATGGGAACAACCAATTGTAGTTCAATACAAAATTACAGAGTTCCTTCATCAAATATGAAAATCACACGTTCAATGCTTCATTTGCAAATACTTAATCAATTGTTTCCAACTTTACTATTACTTCAGTGCCATAATAAATACTTTTATTCCCGTTCTCTTCGATCTGATCTTCCCAATCTTTTGCTGTCATGTATACCACTTCTGACTGGTGTTAAATACTACTTATGTCGACATAAATAGCATACACCACACTATCAGTATGAGAAATATTGTAACGAAAAAATTGGGCTGGTTTTTTTCAAATCATATCATCGAGATGTTTCGGATTCCCTAGACTATAATGAATGATCAAATTTTCAACAACGACAACAACAACATGAACAACAACAAGACTGAATTCCTGAATAATACGTACCTTATTAAATTTTGTAAAATTATTTGACCAGTTTTATGAGATAAGATGTTTTGTAAAACTTCAACAAATGTTTCAAATTTATACAAGTTAACTAATTCTATTTTCATTGTATCCTATGAAGGGGAAAAAATCATGTAGAATATTAGAAATATAATTTAAACAATCATCAAAACCGCTTGTATATACTTTTGTAATATGAAATGAATGAGTTTCAACTTGTGTACTTAATGTATGTAGATTTTGTGAATAGAGAACAAACCAGGCTGGTTTCACTTAAATGAGCTAGAAGTAGACAGTATAACTTATAAAAACACTAAGGGATAAGTATCTGTTCATCTAAGAGTGCTTATACATATGTGCATAAGATGTAACAAAAATGACTGAAGGAAGAAATGATTAACAACCTTCACAACGTGAGGAGCATGCCTATGTGTATGCTATGGAATGTATAAAAGATAATCTTTGCTAATGGTGTGACTGTAACATATACTAGTTTCATGTGGATACGACATCCGAGCACTACACTCAGGGAATTCAACGATTTCTCGACTGGAAAAATACTCATATATGCCTAGAAATATGACAGTTTTCCTACGGGAAATGCCATTTGGTTTCTGCAATAAGGTTTTGATCAACCTTATGGTTTGTACACCTCAAGGTGTAATAAAATGTAATTAAAGTAATGAAAACGACTAACCTGTAATATTTAGACTGTTTTATCCAACTTGAAACAGGTAAGAAACACAACGATATGGCCTACAGTAACTGATCATGCTACATAATTCTTGTATTATCTGTGGACTATGTTATAGTTTTCTTTCTAAACAAAATTAGATAAAATCACTACTGCTTAATTTTTAAACCATTACGTTGTTGATATCACTGACTGAATTTTTGTCAGTCTTAGTTGACACTTGTGCATCTTGTGTGGATTGCCACAATATAGCCATTTTTGTTTCACGTTTATAGAAAAGACATACTGCCGTTTACCCTCATTAATAATAGTATAAACAAGAAACCTAATGAATGAATTAGTGGCTATCTGAATTCAGTAGCACTGTAGATGACACGGTGTTTGAAGGAATTTTGCGTGTGCCAACAGCCATTAAACTAATTTAGTCGTGCATTCAATATTATTGATTAATCATAGTAAACTAAGATTATAACAGAAATATCTAAGTTATATTTAACTATTAATCATTTAATGTAAAAATGTTTACCTTATTATGGCAAAATTCTAATAGATACTTTATCAATAATGATATAAATGATAAAGAATCTTCTTTCGAATTCAGTAGATTAATGTAGTCATTTTCTTCCATAATTGTAGAATATAATGAAGACTGTAGATGTGATGGTTGTTGAAGACGATTAATATTGAGACTAGACAAATTGTTTTTATTTGACAAATTATCAATTGTAAAACAATTTTTCGAAACTGTTTCATATAAAGTTAATTTAGTTAAACAACTTTTGATTACCATAAAAGGATGATAAGCTGAAAGGAAGTTATGGAAATAATTAGAAATCAATTCAATCCAGGTAATAAAACAAGAAATAAATCAGGGGTAGATCTAAGCTAGATCATCACTGAAAAGTCGGAATTACTGGATAGCCGTTTCATCCTAGTATGGGATTCCTCAGTAGTGCGCATTCACAATCCTGCATGCGGGACTCGAACCCACAACCTTCGGTTTCATGAATCCAACTCTTAAACATACTTCAATCTCTACAAACCCTTATTCTGAAGAAATATTTAAACAATAATAAATTATTCACTATAATTTATTCCAGTATTCCGATTGTTTTGTTTATACACTATTCTATTTGATAAGATGCTATATTTGTAATATATGATCTGAATAGATTTATGCCATTTGTGTATTCTAATTTATAAAATGAATTTTAATATGAGACCAACTTCTGAAACACAACAACAGCTTATGTTTTTCTATGACAAGCACTAACTTTGCACACCTGTCGATATTAATAGAGTTGAGTGCTGTCTTAGGGTTAAAGAATACGACAATTGTCGAGAGTTGGCTAATAAATATTCCTGTGACCTAAAGTCTGATGAAGAATGAATAGTCAACCAGCACTTTGACCGGGATGGTGGGTATGGAGGATCCACCTAGGGGAGTTGGAAAGCCCTCATTCCAAACCAATGGTGCACATCGAGTTCAGGATCCTGAGGGAAAAAATGGTGTAGGAATCTATCGTACATCTAACATTTCTCCACTGCCTTGTGGATCAGACTTTTAGATCGAAGGCTCCAGGTATGTACCCCTGAGAAAACCCCCTGCTTCGGCCTAAGCACCCGTGCAGTATCATAGTTCACACACAAATCAAGTGACCTGTGTGGCGCGTGGGCATTTCGTATTCCCTGATAACAATATTTATGTGTTCAAATAACTAAATAATTCAAACAATACATTCATGTCCAGGTCTGAAACAGGCTTGGTTTCCATTAGTTTGCTGACTGTGAACCTTAGTTAAGTGTTCAAAGATTAATGAAGCTAGCATTTCAAGCAGTGTAGGGCGACTCTAGCTCTTTTCTATGAACTGAGATGATTAAATGTGGCAAGAAACTGTTTCAACAACTACATGATATTATTCCAGGGATTCACATGATGCAAATGCAAACATTCTGTAGTGCTTTCTAATCTAATAATGATTAGTTGAAGAAAAACTATATTATAGCGACGGACTTATCAGTCGATCAGATAGCAATATGTTTACGAAGTGACTTCTAATAAAAATTAATAAAATTACGATGAACAAATAGTTCCAACATAATACATTAGGCAATAAAGGTTAGGACTAGGGATTAGGATTTCAGCTAGAGTCGTAAGTTATAAATCAGCATTAGGAGTATTAAAATAAGAAGTTAGGTTTAAGAGTGGTAGGGTCAAATTCATTTTTGTGTTGGTTGTTTGAATCTTCTCATCGATGTTTAGGACTGCAATTGATCAGTCTCTTATTGGCGCATGTACGTCCTGTGCAGATTGCCTCAGCATTGTCTAAAGTCACATCCAGGTACGTTCAGATAACGAGCTACATAACAGTACGGAACGTGTGTCCTCGATTTCATTGCTGACCACCATCCATCTCTGCTTATAATGTTAGGTTTAAATATTAGAGCGTCAATGTTAGGTTTCAGGGCTAAGTGGTAAGGTTATGATTTAAAGAATACTTTTCAATTACAAAAACACACTTGACCATGTTGTTAGTTGAATCATTCACGGTCAGATAAAATCTGTATAAGAAGTATGAATTTATGGTAATTTGACTTTGGCACCATGTTATTTTTGACATTTTTTAACGACTTAAAAAATCAATTATGGGCATGTTTCACTACGTTCTTTCGTGAGATGCATGCTATTCTTCATTGAGTTTTGAATATTGCGCAAAATATTATGAGCTCTATCTACAACCTGAATGGTTGCCTGAAGGTAATCGCTATAATATGGCTTCTCAATTAGTTACATACATAAATTGTGTATTATTTTACAAATTTATCAACTACTTTACAATTGCTTCCAGGTTTTCCATGGTGATCTAGCTTTAACCGATTCATGAATTCAACTATTGAATTACTAAAATCTCCACAAAACTCGCTTCTGATAATAACCATCATGTGTTCACTAGTGACTGGCTTCAAAAGGTATTTCTTGGAGTCCTGCTGAGAAGCCGTGACCAGTGGAGTTCAACCAGGTCTGTTGTAATAGTAACTCACTGAAGACGATGGTCAACAGTGGCGTAATTTCGTCGATAGGTTGAAATTAGACATTGACATCACTAGATGTCGTCTAGAGGTGGTGTAGAGGTTAAGTGTTCGCGCGCGAGACCGATAATTCCTGTGTTCGAGTCCAGCGCATGGAACAGTGGATGCGCACTGTTGAAGAGTCCTATACCAAGACGAAACGACTGTCTAGTGCTTCCAGGTTTTTCATGGCGGTCTAGCTTAAATTGACTCATGAATTCAACTATTAAATTACATATTACGTAAAATGATAATAATTCACGACATTTATCCATTAAAAAGGGGATTAACTCCATAAACTAATGTACCAAGAATAATAAACTTACTTTGGTGGATTTCTTCTACGGTGAATATGGTTCTGTACAAAAATTGTAACATTGTACATAGAAATATATTGACCGTGATTGGTTGATTTACTATGAAAAATAAAAGAACCCAAATTGTATGATGACAAAATTACGATTATGTATGCAAATCAATATATTATCTGTTGATTAGTTAGTGTATTGTTTAAACACAGTTGACAAGGAATCTGTTTTAGGTACACTAGGCACTGTCTAGTTATGGTGGAGAATATTTGTAGCTCAGGTGGATGATTTTGGTGGAGTTTTGTTCTCTGAGCTGGATGGTTTGGTCGTGGAGCTTTCATCGTTCTTCTGAACGACATCATCAGCACAAACTTCAGATAGAAGTGAAGTGTTTGAATTTATCCATATGTGTCTCAAAGCTTGTTCTGTGCACCTCGACGTTGATTCGTTCTTATTGATCTTAAATTTGTCGTTGTTTATTTTTTCGTTTTGGTTGTGTCTCCCATTGTTTTGATTTTTGTTCTTATGTTTGTGCATGATTTTTCTGATTGGTTGATAAATTGGATTGATTTCAATATGCTTGTTGATTGCTGATTGACCTGAGTGCCAGGCTTCTAAAAATTCTCTGGTGTTTTTGAAGTTTCCTCTGTCTAAGATTTCCACATTTTTCCAATCGAATGAGTGTCCGCAGTTGTCCACGTGTATTGATATAAGTGAAGAGATATCATGCCGTTTGACTGCTAATTGATGTTCATGTAGGCGAAGGTGAAAGGGGCGTCCGCTTTGTCCGATGTAGTTGACCTTTTAATTTTTCATATATAAATGTTCTTAACAAGTATATCAGATTGTTGATCAGATTGTTCAAATATATCACATAATTCTGATAAACTACGTCTTCTCATTGCATGATCGAATATTTCATTGTTTATAAACAATAATTAAATGTTCTAATCATTTTGTACACATCTGATATTAACTTTCTCGTACCTGCAATTAATATAAGTATTTTGAGTAGTATGAATAGTACTAACATCATGTGCAGTATCAGTTGCATAAATAGTATAAGTAGCACATGTACTATGAGTAGTACAAATACTATAAATAGAATAAATTGCATTGGTATTACAAGGAACTTCCTATTCATGTCAGAATAATTTGATAGTCATATAGCAACTTACATGCAATTGAGTTTGTTCTCATTTAACTTGGTTAACTCCTTTTGTTAACTTATCCGTACTATATTCAAGCATATACATGTTTCATACAAGCACAATAATAATAAAAGTACAAAATAGTCGTCAAGTGCTTCCAGGTTCTTCATGATAGCCTAGCTTTAATTAACTCATGAATTCAATTATTTAGTTAATAATTAAATTAAAACATAAGAAAAAGTAAATGTATAGAAGATGCTTTATATCATACAAATCTTTACCATTTATTAATGTTATTGTTTTTGATTGTTTTAATTGAATTGGGAATAAATTTCTTCCATGAGAAAAGCATAGAACACGACATATAATTTGAATAGCATGAAGGAATGATATATAGATTAATTCTTTATATGAATAATAATATTTATTATTTGGATTATTTGTACATGCATCATATTTCACTAAAAGAGAATTATAAATAAAAACCTTTTTTCCCATTTTAATTAAACAATAATAATCATTACCAATATATAAGAGTAAGGGAAAAATGTACCAGGTTTACTAATCCAATACACTAGTGAGTAGTATTGTTGTGAAACAAGAAAACAAATGGGGGGTGGGTGACGACAATCTCTTAGTAAAATCCGATAACCATACAGTAAATAGTTAATTTGCAAAAATATCAATCAATTATTTCAAACTTGACTGTTTCTTCACTTGGTATTGTTTTACTTGAATCTTTTCATTGATGTTTTAGGACTGAAATCGATCATCAATGGGAAGATTCAAGTAAAACAATACCAAGTGAATTAAACTTCACCCTATTGCACAAGTAAGTGGCTATCAGGACTCAGTAGCTAGGTGGATAACGCAATGGTGTTTGAAGCGAACGGTACTGAGTTCAAGTCCCAGAGTGAACATCAACTCTGAGATGCAGGTACATCCAGCTGACAAGTCCCAAACGGGACGAAACGCGCGTCCTCGATTCCACTGCTAGCTACTATCCATCTTTGCTTATTGACTGTTCATTTTGTAAATCTCAGTACATCGTCTCAGATTTTACGATTCATGCATTTTTATACCAATTGATTTCCGTACACATTGTTTCCTTTTGAATCTTCTACTGAAATACATTCTATTCTTGACAATAGTTATATACTACTTAAATGAATATAAGTAGCGCACCATAGTATCATTAAAACAAGTAACATTAGTAGTGTTCGTAGCAGAAGTAGAATTAGCAATGTAAGTACTATAAGTAGTATGAGTAATATATGTAGCATTGTTGGTACAAGAGGTATAAGTTGTTTTGTGTTATTAATATTAATTCATATGGGCACACTGTGAGCATAAACTCTAGTGATACCACCGATTTTCGAAAATCGAAATAGGTAGGGTGAAGGTTCAAACATGTGATTAAATAGGTCTAATTAGGTCTAACTTACTATTCAACCACTCTACATATGGTATTCTACTATAAAAAGGACTATTCATTAAGTTTAAGCCTGATACCGCTCGCAATGCTGACTAATGTTAGTGAAGGATAGGGATGGCCAAACCGAAACGTGTCATCATTCCTTGAAGTCATTAACTTCTAGTCTGAGGCCATGTTGATAGATGAAGACTATTTGGTTGGGGTCTGCATGACTATCGTAACCAGTGGTTGGAGACTCTGGGTGACGTTGCTCAGAATCGATCACAATGGTGTAGGTGTATACATTATTTGCCTTCCCTTAAACTAAGAGATTAAAATTGGTTTATACCTTTATTTCTACTAACTAATTCTCTCTTCCTTATACACAATCTTTCTTTTATATATCACTACCATTGAATTAACTGCTTTTATGAAGTTGATGTTCATTTTGTTGTACTAATGAGGTGTAGCAACTTGGATCAATGCATATATGTGCCTGGTTCTACGCTATAGCTAACTGACTGGCTGACTGATACCGTCGCAATGAAGGTAATACTATATTTCTGTGATAAATCCACCGAAGATGTACAGTAACTTTCCTTCAACTATATGAACTGTTATATTAAATGTTAATCACATAAAATAAACACATGATTAGTTGAATTATCAATAAAGTAACGGAAAGATTCTTAAAGTTACTTCACTTACATGAAAATACATTGTTACCATTATTTTTATTCATGTAAATTAGGCATATTAGGACACTAAATTCAAACTGAGAGAGAGAGTATACAGAAAATATGGTAAATATTATAGAAACCTTAGTATAAATGGTTAAAAATAATTTCAACAGATGAATCGTAAGTAATATGAGAAACAAGAAGGAATTATGTAACAATTAAAAACATCTTCATCAGTACTTTTAGAGAAGTGTGTATGTGTATTCTGTTACTATTTCCCAATTGCTCATATCGTGAGAGGATATTTTTTTCATAAGGGAGGATACTAAATTGATAATGTAAGATGGATGGCGGATAGCACTGGAATTCAGGATGAGCATTTTGTTCTATTTAGGAATCATCAGTACAGAGTTCGAGTCCCAGAGTGAACATCAACTCTGGAATGCAGGTATATCCAACTGACCAATCCGAAATGGAACGAAGCGTACATCCTATATTTCACTGTTAACCACCATCCATCTTTATTTATAATGCTTGTGACTTGAGAGACTATCAAAGTAATCCTCACAGGATGCAAATAAACCAATAAGAGATTGATCAATTACGATCTCAAACATTATTGGGAAGATTCAAACAAGCAAAATGAATTTGAATTGATAATGATCAAGACAATCTTATTACACAAGATACAACTATTTGACACCGATCATTCATGGTCCTTATTTTTAATAATCTTTGACGAGTTAAAATTATACTTTAAAGATCTTACACATTCAGGAATACAAATCTCAAGGATAAACTGAAGTGTTCTATTTTTTTAGGTGAGTTTTGTGGATATTATAGCAATTTCAATGGTTAAGATCATGAGTCAATTGAAGCTAGACCACCATGGAAAGTCTGGAAGCACTAGACGACCGTTTCGTCCTATTGTGGGACTCCTCAGCAGTGTGCATCCACGACCTCGTCCCTTGCCAGATTCGAATCCAGGACCTACTGGTTTCGCGCGCGAGCACTTAACCACTAGACCACTGAGCCGGCATACAACAGTGTCAATTTTTAACTTCAACTAATCCACGAAATTGAGCGAAAAATCCACCATTTTCATCAGTGAGTTACTATCTCACAATAAACCTGGATGAACTCCACTGGTCACTACTTCTCACTAAAACTCTAGGATATACCTCTTGAAGCCAGTCACTAATGAGCATATGTTGATTAATATCAGATGTGTTTTGTGGATATTATAGTAATTTCAATGGTTAAGATCATGAGTCAGTTGAAACTAGACCACCACGGAAAGCCTGGACGTACTGGACGACTGTTTCGTCCTATTGTGGGACTGACTCATGATCTTAACCATTGAAATTAAACAATTCTTCAAAATTCATCATTAAACTTACTAATTCATAGTGATTTTTTAATTGAACAATTAAAGCATTGCAACAATATGTTCCATGCTAATAAAATAAAAGAATAGACAGATTAATAGAGACAGAATATACCATTAAAATAAAATACTTTTTTTCATCAAAGTAGGAATTGAATTTATTACCATGATGGCTCTCTGAGCTAAGATCATGTGTAGTATCTGTTCTTTGCAGTGTAATTTCTACAACGGTCTCTAAACTGAGACCAATGAAATTACCTGTATTTTTCACCTCCGGACGGGTGCTGTGAGCTTGCTCAACCCCGTCCACGGGTCGGCCTCGTATTGCATTACCTCGAGGATTGGCCCATTAATATGAGGCCCCCAAATGCCCTGGTACGGCCGAGAGTGGGGAGAGTCCGCCCTCCCTCTCGAAATACTCTCACACGGCCACGCGTATATAGCCTCTGCCAGGGAAGTCCTACTCACTGCCTTCTCGTGGTATCAGTGTTGTTTACGAAAATGAGAGGACGAAAAGCGAATGTCCGGCGCTTTAACCGTATTCCAAACCAATGGTGCACATGGGCTCCAGTATCCTGCGGGAACAAATGGCGAATGAACCAATTGTTGGTCACCGGCTTCCATGGGACTGCATCTCCTTACGATGCTCCACTGCCTTGTGGATCAGACCTTTGGGTTGAAGGCTCGGGGTGTGGCCCCCTAAGAAAACCACCTGCTTCGGTTTGGGCACCCGGGCAGTTTCACAGCCCTCACACATATCGGATGAGATTTGTGTGTCGCATATGTATTTGGTGCCTCTTTGTACCATTATCTATGTGTTGAAATAAATAAATAAATAGTATTATGAAAACAAAAAAAGGTGAAATATTGAAGAATATGACAAGTTGAATGGTTTTGTGTAGACAAATGTAAAGGGTAGAATTAGATAAATTTCATTTACGATATTAATTATATGTGTAACTATTAAACATTTCTATGTTCATTTCTATTTTCAACTCAGTTTAACTGGAAATATAGTAACAGTGGAACTTGGTACTTTATCTTAATTTTACGAATTCGCTACTGATTAACTGAAAAAAAAGTTATTTGATTTCTCTGAATTGAATGATTTTCTTACTCTGTTTGACCATATATGTCTTAGAAATATTGCTCGTATCTGTTGGGATCACTGGGTAAGTAATACTGAGGTCAGATGCAGGATATTAAGGAATGATGGGAAACCAGTTGATGAGGTTGGGGATCTTCATCGACTGAGATGATTGCGCCACGTGTTACGTATGCCTGGACACCGATTACCACGACGTGCAATGCTAACCGGTGTTGAAGATGGTTGGAAGAAAGTTAGGGGCGGCAAAACCAAAATGTAGAACCAGTCCTTCAAGTCACTAACTTCTAGTCTGAGGCTATGTTGGTAGATGCAGACTATTCGGTTGGCGTCCGCGTGACTATCGTAACCAATGGTTGGAGACTCTACGTGACATTGCTCAGAATCGATCACAATGGCGTAGATGTATACACTCTTTGCCTTCCCTTAAACTAAGAGATTAAAATCACTTCATATCTTTCTTTCTACGAATTAATTCTTTCTTCCTGTACTATATCTTTATATGCAATCTTTCTTTTATATATTACCACCATTGAATTAACTACTTTCATGAATTTGGTGTTCATCTTGTTGTGTTAATGAGGTATGGCAACTTGGATCGATGCATATATGTGCCTGGTTCTACGCTGTAGCTGACTGACTGTTTGACTTATTCAGTATACCAAAAAACAGTGATGTTTCTGATAAATGAAAAACTTAATGAGTAATAGCATTGAGGCGAACAGGCCTAATGATTAGGGAAATATTGATTCATGAGTCGATTTAAGCTAAACCACGATTGAAAAACTGGAAGCACTGGACAGCCGATTTGTCCTAGTATGGTACTCCTCAGTAATGCGCATCACGACCTCGCATGCGGGACTCGATCTCAGAAGCTTCGGTCTCTCGTGAGAACGCTTCACCTCTAGCCCATTGAGTCCAGTGCTTCCAAATTTTCAATGGTAGTCTAGTTTACATCGACTCATGAATTTGTATTGAATTGAGTTCAGTTATCAAATGACTGAACGTGATTAAGATCAAATATTATTGATCGATATTTACGTCTCTCTTAAGTTCAATGATCTTACCGATAATAAATCTTATCATACAACTAAAGGATATCGATAGTGAAACATTTGAGTAAATTATTAGTGTGTACTTTAGATAATTTGTTAAAATTACAATTTTCCTATAATAATGTAATTTATATTGCCTAAAGGACATTTTGGGATTTTTATCAAGGCCATTTTTCTGTTAGTTATTGAAGGTTAAATGTGTATTGATTTCCATCATTAGTCAAGTTTAATAACACCAATTCATTATATCTGTAATTTATAACAGTTACTCAAATATTGTTTTGTTTTTTTAATTGTAAAACAGCAAAGTAATTTAACACTCGAAATCATAGATAATAAACCCTCTATCAGTGTGCAAATCCGAAAGCATATAACAATTATCAAATATCATCAACATATTGTTTGAGATGTTAGATCCTCAGAAATCCCCTTTGTATACTTGACATTTTATTATGGAAATCTGAATTGCACATTTTCACACTGGAAGCGCGTCCATTTTTACCCCCATTTTGTGTTCCCTACCTAAAAGGACTTTAAATGTCATTGGTTCATCTTCCCTTTCAGTACGCTATTACACAATATTTTTCAAAGACACTTTTTGTATTGTGTTTATACTCATGAGTTGTATGCTTGTTCGTTCGTTCTTTCAGGCTACTTGTGAAATTATATATTTTTTTTCCGGCTGAATCTGATCTTTTTCCTTTAGTTAACAAAGGTTAGGGAATGGCGGAATAGTTTAACTTGTCCTGTTATTGAGTTACTTACTTTCATTCCGTTCGCCAGTCTTAGACGATATCTTAATTCCTCGAACATAGCACATATAACCCTCTTTTTTAAAATAATTTTTCATCAAATTTATTGACAACGATTGTGATGCAGCCATCAAGAAATCATTTATAATACATTTTATGGTTGTATGAATGATGCATGAAACAATCTATTTGCACTACGGTAAATAAAGTTATTTCAATGTTAAAATCAGGATATTGGTCATCAATCAAGAAAAATCTATAAATTTTTACAAAAACCTCTACATTCATTTTTACCAGAACGGGTTTTATGGAGATTATAGTAATTTCAACAGTTGAAATCATGAGTCAATTGAAGCTAGACCGCCATAGAAAACCTAGAAGCACTGGACGGCCGTTTCGTCCTACTGTGGGACTAATCAGCAGTGCGTATCCGCGACCTCGCCTCGTGGGATTCACCAGTTCACCAGTACTATTTGTTTGCTGGATAAAAGTGTGGATTAAAATGCAGTTATTTGTAATGCAGTTCAAGATGGTTGCCACTTCTTATTTTCTATGTTCAACAATCTTTAGATCGTGTTCGTCACAAACTGATGTTAACTTTGAAACTAATAACAACCACGAAACATTGTGTAGCTATTTTGTCTTAGTATAGGACCCCTACTCATAGTCTCTCCACGGATCAAAACCACGATCTTTAGTTATCGTTATACGGGTTTAACCAACAGAACCATTGGATCAACATCATGTAGCACAATTTTAACTTCAATCAATCCGTGATATAGAGCAACGATCATTCAATAGCAGTATTATGGTAATTACGAAACTTACGGAAGATTGTATAAACCATTTAGCTTGACAATCAACAAGACTAAATAAATGAAATGGAGTTAAACGAAGATTATGAAAACTTTGTTCCTGATTAAATTGTTCACAACCAATAGATAAAATATTCAAGCATTTTCCAATAATTTCGTTAACGAATCTAAAATTAAGTTTTCAGAAAACAGTTTTCATAATGTCAAGATGTACAATGTATTACAAAGAAATATCATTTGAAGAGGAAACACTCTAAGTGAAATTTCAGTAAACAATCAATTCATACTGATTCGGTACTTATTAACAGTAAGCACAAATCATTATATCACACAGATAATGAATGTCTTGTCATGTGTATGGGATGTAATTGAATTAACAAACTTTTCAAACATATCAAAGTTGAACATTCATAATAGGCGAGATGAATCTATACAAAACCTATGACTATGTTCATATGCAGTATCAAAGCTAAGCCTTAAGTATCATATCAGTAACAAGGTACACTATTGGATGAAGCCAATTATGCACCTAGTCAAAGTTTAGCCTATATATTTTTGTCTCGGTTATATGAACAGATCTATACATACTAATGATCTGCAAACACATTATTCGGTTCACCAACTACAGCTTCCTAATATTTCTCAGTCTTTTCACCTTCATAGCAGGTTCTGCTAGCGCGCAGCAAACCTGTTCATATTCATATAGATTGAACGACACTTAAATGTAGCAATTGGACAGTCAAAACAGCATTAAAGCATTAAGACAAACAGGCCTAATGATGAGAGAAATATTGAGTCATTAAGGAATTTGTATTGAATTGAGTTGTACAAGATTCATTTATCAAGTGATTAAATATGAATAACATCAAATATTATTGGTCGATAATTATTTCACTCATTATTTCAACGACCTTACCGATAATAACTTTTTGGTGAGACTATAATTCGTGGACGACCTTTGAGAGACGCTAAACTGGTCTTGAGAATGCCCACTTACTGACTAGGGCTAAATGAGTGTTTTAAAACTGTGTGAAGAATAAGGATTGCGATTTACAGTTGATGGTTAAGGATAGAGATTAGATTTAGGATTTTCATCACGAACTGCCATTAGCTAAAATGCCAAGACGTTATTTAGTAAGGCGGATAAGGAATTTCGCGCCGAAATCTAAGACCTGTTATCATAAATCTGATTGGTTCGTCCATAAGTTATAGTCTCCGCAACCTTTTATCATAGGACGACAGGATATCGATAGTGAAACACTTGAGTAGGTTGTTAGTGTACTTTAAACAATCTGTTAAAACTACAATTTTGCTATGATAATGTAACTTATATCGCCTAAGGTCATGCTTGTGGAATCATGTACAAGTCATCAGTTTTTGTATGAAGGATAGTGATACTGCCCGATTCCCTTAACTAATGTGTGAGTGTACCAGTATTTGAACCCATGAGACAGTGATCAGAAGACAACAAGTTTGATTGCTAAATAGCTGATTCTTATACTTAGATAAAAAAGAAACAGATTCATTCTCAAGTATCGTTCAAACACATAATTAGAGATCAACATTTGTAGGAAATTGTTGAGATAGTTTAATTTTAGTTTTAAATCATGAACCGAATTCAATCAAACAAACGTTGAAATAAAGTTACTAAAGGACTTTACTTTCTTAGAATTTAAATATATGCCATTATTTATATTGTATTCGTCAGAGATTGATCTCAGTTAGAGTTCTGACTGGTACCAAGTAGGACTGGACATTCATTTTGTTTTAGTATGGGACTCTTAAGAAATATACAACCATGAACTCACAAGGTATCAAGCCCAGAGTCTTCAGGCCTCGTAACGAATGTGATGTCGTTAGATCATATTGCAAATGAACTAAAGATAAAAATTTAAACTAATTACATAATGGTCAAGTGTCAACTGTGAGATCCGAAAGTTACAGATCCAATCCTCATTGAGATCTTGATTACATGCTATTTAAGAGTCTTATTGTTAGCGGGACATTGACTGGATTAAGGAATGCTCAATGCACAATTGCTTTGGTGCACGCTGATTGGCTAATTCTCATCCAATCAGCACTAATCGACACTCTGGAATCTTCTCATGTAAAAACTATAAATATACTAAGGTTTTCCCTATTGTGCTTCTTACTTCCATCTAACCTTGTTATTTGGAATATAATCTCTTTCCTGTTCAACCGTGTTCTGATTTGGGGGACTTGTCGAGTGAATCGGTGTCCGAGGATACTAAGCAATAGGAATAGCTGGGTTATAACCGTAAGAAAGAGATTATAACACTTATATTAGAGTGAAACAATTGTCAAGCGTTTCATAGTGTTCAAAGATTGTCGAGCTCAAATCAGACTATATTGAAACTTTTTTTTTAAAAATGAAAAAAAGATTGACTCAATGTTAAATATATAATAATAATAATGTATACCAGCTTACTGTTCTGAATAACGAATCCAATAAAAAGGGATTGTTTGATGAAATTTATTCATTAAATAACACTAGTAAAACAAACAGAAGAAATATTCATCAAATTAAAAACTTATTACTAGTTACTACAACTATTATAAGATAATAATAAGTTTACTAGTATAGGGGTTGTGGAGATTATTAAGTTTTTGATTGAGATCTTGAACCAATTGATGTTAGACCATCACAATTGAAAACCTGGAAGCACTGGACGGCCGTTTCGTCCTATTGTGGGACTCCTCAGCAGTGCGTATCCACGATCCCGCGAGCGGGATTCGAACCCAAGGCCTTCGGTCTCGCGCGCGAACACTTAACCAACTGGACCACTGAGCCGGCATCCAATGGTGATAGTTTCTAACATCAACCAATCCACGAAATTGCGCGACCAACTTCCATTGTACTGAAGTAGCTAACTGTCTCTACCCGACAAGGATTAGCTCCACTGGTCACGGCTTCTCACTAGAACTCCGAGAATTCCCTCACGAAGCTAGTCACTAGTGAGCACATGTTGATTACTAGTATAGGGGTTGTGGAGATTAATTGGTTCAAGATCTCAATCAATAATAAGTTTGATAGTTCAACTTTATATGATATGAATCTGTTTTAAAATGTATAAAATGATGAATTATATTCTTTTGAAATTCTTTTTTTTTTATTGAGATCATGAACTGATTGATGATAGATCCTCATTGAAAACCTGCAAGCACTGAACGGCCATTTCGTTTTATTATGGGACTCCTCAACAATGTGCATCCACAATCCCGATCACGGGATTCAAATCCATGACCTTCGGTCTCACGCGCGAACGCTTAACCTCTAAACCAATGAGCCGGCATCCAATGATGTTAATGTCTAACCTAAACCATTCTACGAAATTGCGCGACTAGATAGATAGACTAGGTAGATACCTGTCTCTACCCGACACGGATTAGTTCCATTGGTCACAGTTTCTATTTTTATCAGATACGGGATGTAATTATTGTGATGTGAGGTATGTGAAATCTGATACTGATACACGGTATGCTATGCGTTAACCCCCCTCCTAACTGACTACTTAAGGGAGAACACAAGAGTAAGCGAGAAAGTGTAATAGACTACCGAATCAAATACTTAAATACTTATTCATATATATACCACTATATCCTTAAGAAATTGACACATTGACTCCAATGAAATGTACTTATCCTTTCGATCACTTCTGATTGTCATCGATTGACCTTTTCATTAGGCTACTTCTGACTGATTCTCCATATCAATAATATGTTTGTAATAATACCTGATGAATGTTAAATTTGAATGACAATATTTACGCAGTTATCAATCAGATTGCCATCCTTTGGATTCTCTGTACATAACAACTGTATTACTCATGAGTAACTTATTTAGATTATACACTGATTTTTATTAGTTAATAGACATGGGAAAGATCAGTTTGTGCTTACCTTCTACCAAGAGTTAACTTTTATTTGTATTGTCAAGGTTATCATTTGGAATGTGAGTTTCTTTATATAGGTCATTCATTATTTGTTGTAGAAACATTCATTTTATCTGTGTTCATGCGTAAATATTCCAAGAAGTCAAAACATTCTTCTGACTTTAAGCCACCTCGAATGAGTTATTCTAATGTATCTAAATCGTAAATTACCTTAACGAAAAAGAGCTGTGCAAGTGTTATGCCTACTCAATGCCTTCTCGCAGCAGAGATGTCGTTTACAAAACTATGTCCTGTGCTTTAACCCTGTTGATGTGTACAGAAGATTCATCTAGAAGAGTTGGAAAACCCTGATTCCAAACCAGTTGTGCATATTGGTTCCAGAATCCTGAGGAAAAAGAGGCGTATGAACCTATTGTCGATCACCGGCTACCGTGGGACTGGATCTTCTAACGTTGCTTCACTGACTTGTGGATTAGACCTCTAGGTTTAATGCTCGGAGAGTGGCCCCCTAAGAAAATCACCTGCTTCGGTATGGGTACCCGAGTTGTATTCAAGCTCTCACACAAATTATTTGATTTCTGTGGCTCATATATATTTTGTGCCTTCTTGTACTAATGTTTATGTGTTTAAATAAATAAGTTTAAGCCAAGTAGATTTTGCGATGATATTATAACAGTTGCACGTTCATCCTCAAAAAAAATACTGTGAAAGTGCAATCGACAAAGAAAATCAATTTACGTTAGTTACTTGAATGTCCAAAACCAACAGAGAACAATTGTTTCTGTATGATCCTAGAAACATGCGATTGACTAGGATCAATTTGCATGACACTTAAGTTTAAGATATCCTGTCAATTATCTCTAACTACTTGATATTACAGTATGTCAAACTCATTGTTAAGATAAAAGATCCATGGGCACATTACAATCTCATAGATAGAACTCGGTTGGGACTAAAGGATTAAACAAAAATGATGCTACTAAGTGATCAATCAATTGTAAACTTTAGATTTACACTTGTCGGGTTTCATGTGAATATTCTTCCTATAAAGTATAGGATCTAGCAACAATGTTTTGATGTTATTAGTCTCCAGTCTTTTGGATACACGTTTACACTGGGGCAGCATTAAAATATATGAAAGATAGCTACTATCTTAATTTAAAATTCTAAATATTGAAATTGTGCCTTTCACACTATCCTCCTAGTCTAATACTCTTTGACCACTTCTCTCTACCTCATTTAACGCAAGCGAGAAGTAGAATAGGTTAGGAATAAGATAGGTCCGAAAAGAATCGGAACAACTATGTACACAAATGAAAACACTAAAGTTAACGTGAAAAACTGTCAGTATTTTCTTGACTCATTCCCTAGAATGGATTGATAAAAATGGACAAGTTGGTTATGTACTAAGGACATTATCGTTACGATATAATACAACTTACTGCTCTTAAAACTCTCTTGTTATGATTTTGTTGAAAATCAACACCGTCTTTAAGAAATGGATATTGATGAGCATTTTTAGTGAATTGTAGTTGTAGATATTCAACTAAAAAACAAACATTAGAAAACACGTTATATGAATACAACATAGTGTAGTTTTAATAGTTGAATTTATGAGTCGATGTAAGCTAGACCATCATTGAAAATCTGAAAACACTGAACAGCCAGCTCGTCCTAGTATGGGACTCCTCAACAATGCGCATCCACGATTCCATATGAGGGACTCGAACACAGGACCTTCGGTTTCGCGCGCGAACGCTTAACCTCTAGACCATAAACCCCTATTCTAATAACAATACAGTTTGTTAGCTGTTTTAAAATAAAATATTAACAAAAACTATTTTATTATCTAAATAATATTCGATCATGAAAAGTGATAGACAGACAGTGTTTAACTGATCGCTTTAATCTAATAGTCACATCATTAATTTAGTCGATTGAATGGAGTTAATCGTAACGGCAAATTATTTACTTCTCTGTTATTGGAATACTCTTGGTTGGATTATGCAATTTTTTTTAAGAAATAACAAATACATTTTAGGAGTTTCCATTTTTTGTTAAAGATAGTTTTTATCATCAACTGAAATCAGCCAGAAAACGAGTGAAAACTAAGAAGCATTGAAATACTATATTCTTTAGAAGCGCACATATATATAGAAGTTAACTGCCAATGAGCACATAATTACTATTAGATTAGAAAATGTGTAGAGATAAGGTCAATTCAAAGGATTTCGTTTATACTTTTTGATGTGCGATAAAGATAAAAAGTGATTGGTCACTGAGTGTAGAAAAACAGCTACTCAGCTTATTAACTTATAAACATATGACTTTTCATCTTAGTGATTTCCACTACAGACTCACTGAGAGTGATTGTTTGTAATTGTGTGGAATAAAGTTCTCTATCCTTGGTTGCAAATCGTGCACTTGATATAACATAGTCTAAGATGTGCATAGTGGATCGTTTGAGTATTTCTTTTAACTCGATCATCGGTCTTATTATCATAGTATAATAATACCTCGTGCGACAAAGAGGAAAATATTTTAATTCATCCGTTCTATCACTGTAGTGAACGAGAAGTCAGTGGGAAAAACTGATTAAGTACAAAATTACAGAGTTCTTTTGTAAAATGGGAAAATTATACATTATATACTTCATTTGCAAATCCTCCATCAATTGTTTCAATGTTCATCATTCTTTATTGTTATTACAATTACTCTTTGTTTACATTCCTATTCTCTTTGGTTCGATCTTCTCAACCTTCTACTGCAAAGCATTCAACTTTTGATTAGTTTTATATGCTATCTGTGTATGTTGACATATACCGCATTACTTTGTAACTGCAAAGCTGATATCATTTATTACTGAGTGATAACCATCAGTTGAACAATCATCACAAATCACCTAACTCAAACTTTGAAACATTATTACTATTACTCTTATTATTAGTATTATGAAAGCAAACTAGTATGTAATATCAGTAGTGATATTTTGAATAGTTTTGTGAAATAAAAAGCAACTGATCACTAAAATATTGAAAGAAGTAGTTCTACAACTGTAAAATACTACTTATTTACTTATTGGCATAGACGCAGGGTACTAGGGAATGATGGTAAATCAGTTGATGAGGTTGTGAATCTTTATCGACTGAAATGGTTGGGTCACGTGTTACGCATACCTGAACACCGATTACTACGATGTGCAATGCTAACCGGTGTTGAAGATGGTTGGAAGAAAGTTAGGGGCGGCCAAACCAAAATGCAGAATCAGTCCTTCAAGTCACTAACTTCTAGTCTGAGGCTATGTTGGTAGATGCAGACTATTCGATTGGGGTTCACATGACTATCGTAACCAATGGTTGGAGACTCTACGTGACATTGCTCAGAAGCGATCACACTGGCGTAGATGTATACACTCTCTGTCTTCCCTTAAACTAAGAGATTAAAATCGCTTCAAATCTTTCTTTCTACGAATCAATTCTTTCTTCCTGTACTATATCCTTATATGCAATTTTTCTTTTATATATTACCACCATTGAATTAACTACTTTCATGAATTTGGTGTTCATCTTGTTGTGTTAATGAGGTATGGCAACTTGGATCGATGCATATATGTGCCTGGTTCTACGTTGTAGCTGAGTGACTGACTGATAGATTAAAGTCTATCAAGAAAATATGATTTCAAAACTTTCTGTGAATATGAAAACATACACAACTTTAGTTAAATATCATACGAATAATTTACTTGATTAATTTGAAAAAAAGAAAAAAAAGAAAAATTCCCGAAGTCACTTCATAATAACAATCGAAAACACGTGTAATCAATCTTAACTACAAAACTTACTTAATAAACTGTAAGTTTCACGAATATTTGGTGGAGTAGTTGAAAGTCCTTTGCTTATATACCGTAATGAAAGACTCTAAATAAAACGTGTTTAAAAGAAAAAGAGCAAATGAATCATGATGAAATTCGTTCTTCTTTAGTGAAAGAAACTAAGATAAATAAAATTTCAGTGTTACAATAATGGTTATCCTGATTTTTGCATAGTGGTTACGAGTCAACTTCATATCTATCTATTCTATGAATAGATGATTGAAGGAAGTTAAGAAAAGTAATAAATACCGTATATTATAATATATCAGAAAAATATCTAACTTTTGCAAGTCATTATGCTAGAAATGAAATGGACTTGATATCATCTAAGAAACAGTCGAAAGAGAATAAGGAGCACTGGACAGTTATTTAGTTCTAGTAGTTAACACCTTACAAATATGCACTTGTGATTCCACCAGAGACAAAATTCATCACCTTCTAATATCATAGATAAAGATATATATAGCTTCAAAGTTTATATGTGTTCAATTAGTCTAGATGTAAGGCAAGTAGTTACTTATCAATGGCAATGAGTTATATCGCATTATGTCGAGAATTGATTTAAGTTAAAATTGTAAGCAACTAGATTCTAACTATATAGTCTAAGCGTACTGTACTAGCTGCTAAATCAGAAAAACTTTGGTTTGGCTATATATCTGTAGGGTTATAAATGTTTAATTGTTGAAGAGTTACATAGTATTAAAAAAAGACAGTAGTTTATAACACTTTGAGTTTATAGTGGTCCCCCTATTCTTTGCCAGTTGAAATCAATCAATGATGCAAAACCAACATAAATAGTTTAATTAGTAGGGTTCGAGTTATATCTTTATTGATATTCTTAATTGGATTATTATCAGTCTTAATTAGCATATATACACTCTGTCCAGATTGCTTCGATAAAACCATTTTGTCTCAAATTTTATAGAAAATATAGATCGTGAGTAATACTACAATCCAGGATACGTATTTCGACCCATTTCAGACTAGTCTGCTGGATGTACCCGCCAAGAATATCAACTACGAGATAACTCAAACTCTTACGAATTATATAAATTTCATATTCTTTGCACAATTATAAAGCTCATGGAATCAGTAGCTTAATGAACAATAAGCTCGGTCTCTTCAACAAAAGGTATTGAGTTCAATTCCGGGCGTCAATATCTAAATTGAGATCCAAGAACATTTCATAGATGATTGGAAGGAATAAGTTTTACGAGTCAATACCACTCTCCAATACATTAAGACCTTGTCTACCGTATCAATTTAACTTCAGAAATATTATATACCATTCTAAGCAGAGATGGATGGTGGATAGCAGTAGAATTCAGGACGAGCATTTCATCCTGACACCCGAACCCAGTACCTTTTGCTTCAAACACTACTGAGTTACCGGAGTAAACATCAACTTTCGGATACAGTTACATCCAGCTGACCAGGTCCATATAAGACGAAACGTACATCCTGGATTCCACTGTTAACCACCATCCATCTCTGCTTAGAATGTTTGTGATTTAAGGCAATATCGAGGCAATCCGCATAAGATACATATATGTTAATAGGAGGCTGATCGATTTCAGTCCTAAACGTTAATGGGAAGATTCAAAAAATCAACACAAGATGAATCGCATACCATTCCTTACAAGATTGTAATATATTGTCACTTTTAATGCCTAAACGCCTATAAACTATATTATAACGAAAAATCTGAACAAGTAAATATGTTGTCATCAACACAACTTGTCAAATAATGTTATAATGGAAAAGAAATACAGGAAAATTATAACCTAACATACAAAAACAGTATAATGGCATTGATGATCATGACTTTTTGTAACATTTTCATAATCTCTTAACATTATTTTCTGAAAACAGAATAAACGATTAGGCAGTAAACTATTATAATTAATCTTCGAAAAAGTGAATATTCCAAGATGACTTTGAAAGACATGCCAAAAAGTGATGCCTTCCGATTAGCCACACCACAGAAAGATATTTCTTCTTGAGTTATATGGAAAAGAAACAGGATTGGTAGTAGTCTTGGTGACCTAAGAGTATGATTACTGAAACATAACGTTTTAGTGAGTTCTTGATGTGTTAGCTACGGACTTTAAAGGCTTTTCATCAGTGAAGTGAATCCATGAGACAAGGTTGGTGTATAGGTATGTAAAAGTATATGAACACTTGAAGTTTTACGTAAACCAAACCAACATTTTGTGAAGCGGACATGCTAACGCTTGTTCACAACAATAATTTGTAAATATAAAACTTAAGAGAACACACTAAATAAATTAAATGGGAAAAGTAGGTAATTTCAATGGCTGCTTTTATACTGTATGAATTGGTTAAGAGATATATCGAAAACAACCAACCACTGCCAAACTAAAGTCGATCAGAACCGAAACTGACATCAGTTCTTAAAATCAATAACATATGGTAGCAGCCGTATCAAGAGATGTATACTCTGATAGTTGAGATTATACAAATGATCGATGTGGGAGTTTTAAGACCGTAGATAATATAACCTGGAAACAATGACAACACAATAGATCTATCTTTCTTTTTGTCTCAATATGGAACTTCCAAATTGTGTGTAATTATCGACCCTGATACGGAAAGAACCCAAAACCTTGTAATCTTATTATGGTGGCTTAACCATCAGATATGCCACAATAATACCATAATTTTTCAATTAAATGATCACTAAACAGTGGTTAATATGATGTTTGTACAGTCCTTTGGTGTTGATAGAATTCTGTCAAAGAAACTGCATTATAAACAACAGTCTGAGTGACCTGGCGTCGTTTGCAATGTGTTGAAATATTAGGTAGGTTGAAGACTATTCCTTTCCAGAAAACTCCTTGATTTGAATTTCCCATTAGTTGGCACTGTATTCACCACTGACCATAAAATAAAATAATTTTACCAATATTAGACAAAATAACTTTATGAACTGTCTATTAAATTCACTTACCCATAAAATATCATCTTCATCATTTAAAGCATCGGCTAAACCACGTCTTAAACCACCAGTTGTAATCATTTTCATATTACTAGTTATATGAGCATTACTACTATTATTATTTTTACTAGTAGTATAGATTGATATTTCCTTAGTATTTTCATGATTATCATCAGTTGAAAGGTTTTCTTCAGTTGGCATACTTTGTTGAATACCACTGAATGTTTTTGACTTCAGTGATGATGATAAGGATAATGATGAGGCTGATGTTGACATTTTCTGAGGAGTTTTTTTGTCAATTTTAATCTTATCTACTATATCAGGAGTATTTGTTACTGAATATAACTTAGGCAATTTATTATTTATCGTGGATCGATCTTGACTAACCAATGAAAATGAAGATGACGATGATGATGATGATGATAAAGTTTTTGTTGTTGTTTGCTTCTCTGTTGTGAACGAAGTTGTTTTTATCAAAGGTGGTGACTGTGATGTGATATTCTGATTTAAATATATCCAAACTTCACAAGCTTGTACATCAATGATTGGTAAATGAACTAATTGTTTCAAAGCTTTTTGGCGACAATCTAATCGACTAGAACGACTATCTAAGGCACTGGCTAAACTAATTAGTTGATCTTGATTCATTACTGTAAATTCAACCTAAATAAGAGAAGAGAATGAAAGGAAAAAAAATCTAGATTTGTAAAAGAAGGAAAAATTAAAGTTACGGATAAAAAGAAAAGATAATTATATATTTAAGGTAGCACTCAACAAACATGTTGGATTTCACATACCAGTAGATCGTTGAGCAACATTCCGAATTGATTGGATCTAGAAATGTAAACCAAAAAATGTTGACACAGCAGTCTAAAGGTTAAACACTCTTTGGAAGACTTGTAGGTACTGGATTTAGTTCCTGGTAGGATTGTGAATGTACACGGCTAAGGAGTTCAGTACAAAGTGAAACAGCTACCCAGTGTCTCTTGGTTTGTAATGGTTGTCTGATCAAAGTCAATTCGTGATAGAAACTATGAAATGAGATAGCTATTCACTTAGTGGTTATAACTAATTTTAATTAAAGCAACCATCAATATAATCGCTTTCTGTACAAACTAAAGACTGATTCCTTAAGAGTGTATTTTAATAGATACCTTACTATATGGAAGTAAAGAGTGAGGTATACAAGTTTCTTAATAAAATTTTCTAAGAAATACTGGCTTATGTACATGAAATTTTAAATTCACTTAACAATATCAAGATATCTACTTGTTGTAGTCAAAAATATAACTGTTAAGAGTGACTATTTTCCCAAAATGCCCTGGTACGGCCCACGGTGGAGAAAGTCCGCTTTTCCTCTTCAAATGTTCTCACATGGCCACGCGTATACAGCTGCTGCTAGGGGAGTCCTACTAACTGTCTTCTCGTGGAGAGGGTGTTGTTTACGAAATTGAGAGGATGAAAAGCGAGCGTTTTGTGCGTACTTACTTACGCCTGTTACTCCCAATAGAGCACAGGCCGCCGACTAGTATTCTCTAATCCACTCTGTTCTGGAGCTTCATTTCTAGTCCTATCCAATTTTTGCTCATTTTTCTCATGTATTTCTCCATTTCTCAGTGTAATGTGTTCTTTAGTCTTCCACTTTTCCTTTAGCCTTAAGGATTAGATGTGAGAGCTTGCCTTGTGACACGGTTGGGTGCTTTCCTCAATATGTGTCCTGGCAGTTAAGTACATATAAATCATATCGCCACCACATTCGTTAAAGATAAATTATCTCATTGATCAATATATCATTTTTTTCTAGTATCTTATCAATCAGTCAGCTACAACGTAGAACCAAGCACATATATGCATCGATCCAAGTTGCCATACCTCATTAACACAACAAGATGAACACCAAATTCATGAAAGTAGTTAATTCAATGGTGGTAATATATAAAAGAAGGATTGCAATAAGGATATAGTACAGGAAGAAAAAATCAATTCGTAGAAAGAAAGATATGAAGCGATTTTAATCTCTTAGTTTAAGGGAAGACAGAGAGTGTATAAATCTACGCCATTGTGATCGATTCTGAGCAATGTCACGTAGAGTCTCCAACCATTGGTTACGATAGTCATGTGAACCCCAACCGAGTAGTCTCCATCTATCAGCATGACCTCAGACTAAAAGTTAGTGACTTCAAGCATTGATGCCACATTTTGGTTTGGCCACCCCTAACTTTCTTCCAACCATCTTCAACACCGGTTAGCATTGCACATCGTAGTAATCGGTGTTCAGGTATACGTAACATGTGGACCAACCATCTCAGTCGATGAAGATTCACAACCTCATCAACTGATTTACCATCATTCCCTAGTACTGTGTGTCTAACCTCACCTAGTGATTCCAGCAGACGCCAGCAATATTTCTAAGGCATCTGTGGTCAAATACTAGTAGCTTACGAGTATTTTCTACTCTCAAACAACAGAAAGTAAACATTAAAAAAATATCAACCTTTTAAGTTCTAATTATAATTATAATTACATTATTAAAACAACTGGATAATGTTGAATCAGCATCACTAAATGAATAAATTGTATTATGAATATTTGAAGGACTATTTAATGATGAATATTGTAATAAATTTTGATTAGAATTTTCTAAATTATTGATTTTATGTTTACTTTTTTGATGATCATGATCATGATGAGAAATTTTATTGATTTGTTGTTTTAATGTATTGGACATTATCGTTGATTTTATTGATGGTGATGATATTGGGCATAATGTTAATGAACTATCTTCAGTTGATGTTGATGAGGATGACGATGATGATGGTGATGATGATGATGATGATAAACAGAATAATGCATCGGAACATGATAAATTTGATGGAATACATACAGATGAAGAATTAGAAAATGATGAATAACGACGTGAACTATTTGTTTTCAATTTGGTTTCATTATATGAACAATGATTATTCTCATTAACAATTTCATAATTAGTATCATTATTATTAATGTTTAAATTATTTTGTAAATTAACAGATTGTTTTATGTAATGATTCGATGAATTGGATGGTATCAACTGTGAACCATTAAAATTATCATTTGGTTGTGGATTACTTTCATTATTATTACATTCAGATTGATGAAATAATGTTGTAATTAAATTTTCATAATCATTTGGTTGACAGGAATTCATTATATTTTGTAGTTTTTCTTTGAATTGTATCAACAGATTTTCATAACTAAAATAAATTAATAAATCATCATTATGATTTTAATAATTAAAATCACAAGACAATTGAAGTTAGAACATCATTGGGAGACCTGGAAGCATTCGTTCTATTGTAGGACTCTTAAGTAGTGTGTATCCACAATCCCACCTTGCGAGATTTGTACCCAGGACCTACAGGTCTCGCGCATGAACGCTTAACCTCTAAACCACTGAGCCGGCATCATCATTATGATTTAATGGTTTGTATTTTCTAGTTGTTGATGTTCAGGACTTTATTTGATCTGTATCTCTCAAAAACGAAAAAACACAAACACTTACAAATAATAGAATTCAAATTTATTTCATAAACCCTCAAATGCCCTGGTACGACCGAGAGTGGTGAGAGTCCGCTCTCTTTCTCGAAATGCTCTCACATGGCCACGCGTATATAGCCTCTGCCAGGGAAGTCCTACTCACTGCCTTCTCGTGGTATCAGTGTTGTTTACGAAAATGAGAGGACGAAAAGCGAATAACCGGCGCTTTAATCGGATCCCAAACCAATGGTGAACATGGGCTCCAGTATCCTACGGGAACAAATGGTGTATAAGCCAATCGTTGGTCACCGGCTTCCATGGGACTGTATCTCTTCACGATGCTCCACTGCCTTGTGGGTCAGACCTTAAGGTCAAAGGCTCCGGGTGTGGTCCCTTAAGAAAACCACCTGCTTCGGATTGGGCACCTAGGCAGTATCACAGCCCTCACATATATCGAACGAGATTTCTGTGGTGCATATGTATTTGGTGCCTCTTTGTGCCAATATCTATGTGTTGAAATAAAATAAAATAATAATATTTCATAAGCTAGTAGCTATATGAACTCAGTAGCTTAGTGAAAAATGTGTTAGGCAATTAAAGTGAAAGGTACTTGATTCATGTCTCATTGAGAACATCAACATTGAAGGGAAGGTTCACGCTGCAGATAGTTCTCTAACAGGATCAAATGTTCATTCTGGATAATATTGCTAGCCATAATTCACCTGTTGGTAACAAATGTTAGGACAGATAGATGCGATAATTCATTAGCTTTTTTTCAAGTCTTCATTTTCATGTTTGATAACTCGTTTGTAACCAGTGTTGAACAATTCGTAAATAATTTAAAAACTGAATTCATGAGTCAATTGAAGCTATTTATTTATTTATTTATTTGAACACATAAATATTGGTACAAGAGAGCGCCAATATATATGCGCCACACACCCGAACGCCCTGGTACGGCCGAGAGTGGGGAGAGTCCGGTCTCCCTCTCGAAATACTCTCACACGGTCGCGCGTATACAGCCTCTGCCAGGGAAGTCCTACTCATTGCCTTCTCGTGGCGGGGATGTTGTTTACGAAAATGAGAGGACGAAAAGCGAACGTCCGGCGCTTTAACCGGATCACAAACCAATGGTGCACATGGGCTCCAGTATCCTGCGGGAACAAATGGCGTATGAACCAATCGTTGGTCACCGGCTACCATGGGATTGCATCTCCTTACGATGCTCCACTGCCTTGTGGGTTAGACCATTAGGTCAAAGGCTCGGGGTGTGGCCCCCTAAGATAACCACCTGCTTCGGTTTGGGCACCCGGGCAGTATCACAGCCCACACACAAACCATGAACTCTATAACTATGGCAATTAATTTCCTCGCTCCGATCAACATTCAATCGATTCTTAACTAGCTAATATCCAGTCATTCATTCAATTGGTCAGTGTTTTACTGTCGAAAAAGCATCATATATTCGTCAAAATAATAAATGTTTCAAAATACTGGTTTCTAGTTTTAATATGAACCTCACTGATTGATAGCTCTGAAAAAATATCAAATTCACGTTCTTTTTTCTGTCAGTACTCACGAAATAAAAATTGAAAAGATACTCGCAACGTCAAACAACGTTTTACTTAACAAACTATAACCAAATTATTTTTCTGCAAATAATCACCTTACTCAAATTAGTCTATTCACTTGAAAACAATAATAGGGTAGCCTGTCAACCTTAAACTGATTTTTATATTCGGAAAAGTGTTTTGTCGTTTGTGTGAGTGCCAACAGTATTTAATTTCGACAACGTCAACAGAGTAAGTGGGGTTTAATTCGGAATTAAAATGCTTAAATTTAAAGACTTAAAGGAATGACCTACACCACAAATTGAAGAATAAAACAGCTACAATTTACGCTCCATAGATATTGATATACCACAAAGTTGTTTCACAGAAAAGGCTCGTCTGTTACAAATTTGATTCGATTGGTGTAAGAGTATACAGAAAGAAATTTTGATCTGATTAGAGTGTTGGACAATAACACAGTCTCAAGCAGAATGTGACATTATATCATCCTCACGTGAAATAAATGAAAAAGCCTCATAAATATAGCAGATAAATTCCCACAGTCTCCTGACATAAATTCATTGATGCATTTCACAAATTGGAATAGGCAAATTAATCCGACTTAAAGGCATTAATCGATCGGAATGTCCCACTAACCTGTTAACTAATCAGTCAACCAAACACAACGGAGAACTTCATATGAAAATGTATCAGTTCAAATTACCATACCATATTAGCATAGAGGAATGACATGGTATTCTAGGCGGTAACACTAATAGTAGTAATATCAAAGATCAGGGTAGGAGATATGATATGTGAAAATATGGACTCGCGTAATCAAAAAGATTTCTTCAGGACAAATAAGAAACTTAGAGCCCAAAGTATGAAGAACAGTGAATGCACATGCGCTACTGCGAACGACTCTCACATTATTGAGCACGATAATTGCATGCCAAAACATCGTAATCTATAGTTAAATACACTGCTCAGTCTGCTAAATAGTGACTTCAAAGAGTGATACCACTTCTTAGTTTGCTTGCTTCTAGGCTTTCTTTTAAATTACTTCTTCGCCTGCAAACGTTTAACGTCAAGACAGGTCGCAGTAAAGCATATGTATTATGAGTCCTGACGCCTTCAATGAATAAAGGTTCACTATTTCACCAGCCTTTTCACCATGTTCACTGACAACCTGCGTCTAATATCAGCGTTGGTCGCTTGGTAGTTTCAACATACACGAGTAATGCTTCGAAAAACATCATGGACAAATACTGTTCTATTTTTCAAAGCCACGTTTCAAAGCCAAAAAGCAAAGCAAACTACTATATAGCACACTCATTTTGTGATCAAACGACAGACAACCCGTCTGTAGCAAAATTCAGGCAAGTTGTTAAAGCCAACCTATCTTTCTGAACTGATTAATCTGTACTTTATCAATGTCTTTATCAAAGTATCGATTCTGTTTTAAGTAGCAAAACTTTTTCTTGAGCGGATCCAGATTAATGATAAATAACCTTAAAATATATTGTCCACTACTTTTAGCGAGTTTGGGTTAGCTTCGAGGATACATTCAAGTTGTAACATACTCTCCATAAAAATAAAACAATAAATAAAATAGCGAACCTGGGTAACAGCTTGATCATTGACAAAGTGTCAAGATTATTGCGTTTATCAAAACTGGAATCAAAAGATGGAGTTTTCAGGATATCATTGGCAACTTTGTTCCATATTTTGTCATGAATCAAGGTATCGAAAATTGAAAGTCTGTGATAACAGTAGTGAGTAAATTAAGTGCAACTTACTTTAATTCAACTAAAGCTTTAGAAATTTCATGTTTCTGTGAAAATGATTCGTTCATATTCTCGTAATAATAATCCTTGTAACAAAAATTATACCTGATTTCAAAACCATAAGGAATTTAAGTCGACAAATTTCAACCATTTACTCAAAAAACTAGTTAGTTCGCTCTACCATAATCCAATCACAAAATGTAATGATATAGTGGTGCTTCTAGAAATTGTATGAAAAACATGCATTATATCACTCATCTGACTTTTAACCGTAAATTCGAAGATTAGTATTAAACCGATCAGTTATCTACAATTTAAAACCCCTTGCTACTGCAGCCTTAACGTCACAATATGTCGAAATAAACAATAAAATCTAAATAGTATTACCATATCGCAAACCATATTATTTATTTGAGTAACAATATAAAATAAAATTAATGGGTGTTCACAGAAAACAGACTAAACCGTGCAGTGATAGCAGTGTTCATAGTCATCAACATCCGATCTTTCAAATGGCTAGCTGAATTCAATACATGATAAATAATCAATACGCTAATCGGTCCAGATTTGTTTCCTCACATAACTAACGTATTGTTTCAGAAACAAAGGCTCAGAAGTCGTTGCAGCCTATCGAGACGATGTGATACTAACATTATATCCAAATAGAAAGTTATCTCAATGAAACCTATTAGAGATTCAATTAAGTTCTATTTCATATTTTATGCTCAACACACATGTACGATGCATAAACATACATCAGTAGCCTTAAATCGGTTAATACACGCATTTTCGAAACGTAAAGATGATAATGAGGAAATTTATGGCATGACAACTGAAATAATAGTGTACATATAGCGTCCTACAAAGAGGAAAAAACAGTTCATCAAAAAATATTCATTCCGACAAATCAGGACGCCCCTTACAGACACATCGGAAAAGTACTGAAATAATATGATGCATAATGTTTGACGTTAAAATACCAAACGTGTTAGGACATTCAGCATAATAAATCAGATTTAAAAAGTGAAATTTCTGGATAAATAACACAAAATTGGAAGTTACGAAAATATAATTTATTCCCGATTTTAAAAATTCAACTCTACCATGTGTGCAGAAGTCAAAAAACAATAGATAAAAGAACTCTAGAGAGTGAACCACATTCAAGCAGCGCACTTCAACACCATGTGCACAACGTAAACTACTCGTGTTGTTGATTTAATAAAACTAGAATATTCACAGTTTGACTTCACCATACAAAGCGTATTAAATAGAGAAATCAAAATTTCAGAATCATACACAAGTGCATTTTTTCAGCTTAGACGAAAGATATAGCTTGATCCTAGATAGCCTGGAATGTAATGTTGAAGTATGTGGATGGGCTATGATATTGCGATAACTTAACTTTATTGGTAAATAATGTATGATCGTCTCAGCACATGCTGTTGATATGATCTGCGCGTGAAATATTTAAGATAATTTTAACTAACTTGTAGCAGTAAATAAATCCCGAAAATAAATATCTTTGTAAGTTTTCGACATCAGATTCTGACCACTTTGGTTTTCATGGACTCAACTAGCTGAAGGCCTTCGGTCATTCATCCGCACCAGATCACGAGTGGAAACGTGCTCAGCAACCCCTGTAATCGCTAGCCAGATAAGATCAGAAGATCCTCGATATATTGATAGCCTATCAAATATATCTTCGAAACTCCTCGCTTCTGTCTTTTGATTTAACTTGTTGGGTACGCTTCATATTAGAAGGTGTTACTGGTTAAGGCGTTGTCAAACTCCGAATACCTTTGGCATCCTTATTGGTGAACCTAACGTGATCTGGTACACCAAATTGTAGAGTGTGAGTCTGTTCCTTTTTGGAATTCCGTATATTATTGCATTATATTAATTTTTTATATATGGTGACATTTTTTTCCCGTGTTTTTGATATATATATATTTTACTTGTTCATCCTCGCTTTTGATATTGCACCATAACGGAACAGATATCAAAGGCAATTAATGCCTTTCTGGCCAGACAACATTGAAGCCTGGTTCTGCTACACAGAAGCCGACTTCTCCAAGCACGGCGTGAAAGACACATGTGCACAATTTCCCGCGCGAAATCAACAGGTACGTAGCATCAAGTATGTTTGCTAGTGATATTTTGGAGCCCTACAAAACACTTAAACGATCTATCCTCAAACTCGGAAAGCTAATCGGTCGACAAAGATTAGACAAACTCCTTAATAATATCGACCTGCGACACGGTTCTGCGTCAAATATGTTGTAGAGATAGGCCTGACAACCTTATTTTGTAAATAGTTTTCAATGTTATTTGTATTTATTTTGTCAACCTTCCACTGTATGTATATTTAACATTAAATGACTGTAACTGTCGTTTTAGTAAATGACCTTGAACACACTTTCCGTTGTGATTCTAAGATAGCATGACATATGGTTGCTTGCTAACAAATACATTGCTACACACACACGCTCATTGTTCTATTCTCACGCCTTATAGAGTCAATCGCATTCTCAATCGAATTTTATCCACATTTTAGACTGCTGTGCCATTTCTATTACATTCTACGCCAAAGAAACTTACTGGAGTCATATTTATCTCATTGGAGTTTTTACTCATTTATAATTGTGCATTTTTGGGACCAAAGCTCAACGGAACACGTAACAACTAGCTGATATAAGTAACGTCCCTGAACTTTTATTTTGTGTTACTAATCTATAAATTGTTATTGTTACATTAACTTTTGGACGTAATAACTTTATCGCTAATTTTTGGTTATTATACTTTATGGTCCACCACAATATTGCGAAGAATGAGAGAGGTTATCGGCCAAAGAACCTTCGATGATGGCCTATTCAAACAACGTTTCTTATCCAAACTTCCTCAACAGGTGCAAGCTGTGCTGGTCTCGTTTCAAAACAACGCCTTAGACGAACTGGTTGCATATGCCGAGCGCATCTTGGAAATCACGAAATCTTCTAATTGCAAGGTTTTTTCAGTCAAAGAAAAGCCTTAAACGGCCCAGAATGACATAACAGAATTATGTCATACACTTACGCGTTATCTTAATTTTCGTAACGACCGTAAACGGTCACACACGCCGCGAAGTAGCACTGCACGAAGGTGATCTGTTTCTATACGACGAGAGATAGATAACTTTGACTGGTGCCATTATCATAACCAGTATAGAACGTCGTCCAGAAATTGCAGAAAACCCTGCAATTTTCCTGACTCGAAATCGACTGACACGAAAAACAGTTCGGGAAACTTTAAAGTCGGCATGCGTTAACGGCGACGGCGGTCGGGGAACATAGCCGTCTGTTATACGTCACAGATGTGATAACGAGAGTTCGCTACCTCGTCGATACTGGCGCAGAAGTTAGTGTTCTTCCAGCGAATTCTAACGACCGGCTTTGCGAATCTGTTTTAAACTTACAGGCAGCAAACGGAAAGACTGTCGCCACATACGCTTAAAGGTACGTTTACCTTAACGTGGGTTTGCGCAGACCCATTCATTGGATTTTTGTTGTTGCAGATGTTTCTATGTTAATCATTGGAATAGACCTCCTACAACACCATAATCTAATCATCGATAATTACAAACGGAGGCTAGTAGACGGAAACACTAATTTATCCGTTTGCGCAAATTCTTTTTCTAGTTGCAGATTGTCCCCAGTCCCAATTAAGCATACGATAGACCCACTTTATCAACCACTACTCGATAAGTATCCTGGGATTCACCAAACGCAACTGAAGCTACCGTGTGTAACCAGCAACGTTACACATCACATCACGACTACATGATCACCTGTATTCTCTAAAGCACGCCGACTAGCCCCAGAAAAGCTAAGGCTGGCGAAAAACGAGTTTGACCACGCGATAGACTTAGGTATCATAAAACCGTCAAACAGCCCATGGGGATCTGCGATTGAACGCAAAAACCATTCTCGATCGTTACTCGTTGCCCCACATTCACGAAATGACTGTGCACCATTTATGAAACCGCTAACCGACCAACTCCGACAAAATGCGAAATCCATCAATCTGCACGACATCGCGTGAAAAACATTGTCTACAATTAAGGAGCTTATCGCTAAAACCACAATGCTCGTTCATCAGGACACTGAAGCACTCATTATTGTCGCAGTAGATCCACCCGACTCAGCAACCGGAGCAGTCTTACAACAATGGGTTAGCAACTCCTGGCAACGTTTGGCGTTTTTCTCTAGACGGTTGCTAGACAGTGAATCGAGGTACAGTACGTTCGGTAGGGAACTCCTAGCTATGCATTTTGCTGTACGACATTTTCAACACCATATCGAAGGCCGTGAATCCACCCATTTTACTGACAATAAAACTTTTACATTCCATTTAAGCTCCGCTTCAGACAAGTACTCACCAAGTGAGTCGCAACAACTGCACTATGTTTCGCAATTTACTTCAGATATTCAACACATTTCTGGAGCAAACAATGTAGTCGCAGACGCCTTGGCTCGAATAACTTCCTTGAACAGATTCCATGGAATCGACCTTCTGAAACTCTCCCAGCTTCAAAAAGAGGACACTGATATTCAGCACGAGTTATCGTTTACAACCCTCAAACTACGCATTAAAACAGATCGGAACAGGTAAGGAAACCTTACTTTGCAACACGTTTACAGGTAGGGATCGCCCAATCGTCCCACAACATTATCGACGCAATGTCTTCAATACATTGCACAAACCTTTTCATTCAGGCATTTGCACAACCATCAAGCTTATAACAGAACGTTTTGGCTTGCCTGGTATGAATAAATACGTGAGAGAGTGGGCACACTCCCGTGTAAGCTGCCAAAAATCTAAGGTTATCAAACAGAACCATTGTCCCTTAGGCCCTTTCAAAACTCCGGACGCTCGTTTTGGCCATGTTCATCTGGATATGGTAGAACCTTTACCAGATTCAAATGGATAATCTTATCTCTTAATCTGTGTAGACCGTTTCACTCGATGGCCGGAAGTAGTATCTATAAAGGACATCACTACTGAGACAGTGGCCCGCGCCTCTGTCGAACGATGGGTAGCAAACTTCGGCTGCGCTTCAACTATCACTACAGTTCGAATCTGAACTTTTCCGTCGTCTGACCACACTTTTTAAAAATCACTCGCTTCCGAACGACCACCTACCATCACAATGCAGTGAAAGCTGACATTGGATACACTGCTGCTC